ATGGGTTTTCACTGGTCAAAGGTAACCTCGGGTGATCCCTCCGGATGCACAAAACATCAGTTTCGGCTGCTTTTGGGCGCTGCAGCTACTGGGAAAGAGGATCTGAGGGTCAGGCTGCTGACAGCTGCCCAGTAAGGCTCAACAGTGCTCTGTGTCTTTACTGGGAACAGACTTTTCCTTGACCTTCTCTTTTGCCCCCCTGTTCTGTTCCTCCCCATCCCCCAAATGGGGCCTTTTTCTCACTTGTTTGTGGTGAATCTCAAGCACTTTGTGCATGACAAAGTCCACTTGTCAGCAATATTCTTTGAAATGCCTGCCTGACAATCGCCCCATTATCACAGCTTTCTTATCCCACAGATTTTTTTATCCTTCCCCTCCGGGGCTAATAAGGAGAAAGGCTCCAGCGAGAGGAGGGCTCCTACTCAAGGGTTCAGCTCCGACTGAAACCCTCCCGATCTCCGGGGAAGGGCCATTATCCCGAATGTGGGACACCATCATTTGATCGCCATGAATGACTTTTTGAAGCGAGGCCATTCATCAGTTGTGTAATGGGGTTTTTAGCTCAAAGACCCGGCTTTCAAGTAATTTCTGCTCCCAGGATCCCCCGGAGCTGAACCATCTGACCGCTATCACTGGGCAGTTCACTCGCTCTTCGCTCTGGTTGTGAAAGGAAATATGCTTGACATTTTCCATCAGCTTATTGATGCCCCATCCCAACGCTTTCTCCCACCCTGGAATACTCTCACTCCTCCCTGTGCATCCCTTCAGTGGGATGTGATGTACCTGCTTTGCACTGGGGAGAACTCGAGTGCTCTGTGAGCTCTGGGAACCTCACAACAAGAGAGACATTGAGGGGCTGAAACATTTCCAGAGAAGGGCACAGAGCTGGGGAAGGGGCTGGGGAAGTCCTGTGAGGAGAGGCTGAAGGAGCTGGGGGGCTCAGCTTGGAGAAAAGGAGGTTCAGGGTGGGGCCTCTGGCTCTGCACAACTCCCTGACAGAAGGACAACAAGAAACAGACTCAAATTGTGCCAGAGGAGGTTCAGGCTGGATATGAGGAAGAGTTTTTTAATGGAAAGGGTGCTCAGGCCTTGGCAGGGGCTGCCCAGGGAGGTTTGGAGTGCCCATCCGTGGAGGTGTCCAAGGAAGGCCTGGACGTGGCACTCAGTGCCCTGTTCTGGGTGACAAGGTGGGGATTGGGCACAGGCTGGACTGGATGGTCTTGGAGAGCTTTTCCAACCTTAATCATTCTGTGGTTCCATGATTCTGATCTCAGCAGCAAGTGGGGTGGCCATAATTTAATTTTTGAAGCTCTTTTGAGTATTACAAACCACACACACAACGTCAGACCCCAGAGGTACCTCAGAGCAGCAAAGCCAGACAGTGACACACCCAATGTCCCATTACTGGGGACGTTCTCCATGGTTATTCCATGAAAAGAAGCTCACGGGACCACTGCTTATAAAAGCACACAGGTTTATTGCATATCAATCTCATGTATAAATTCATTGTAGCATTGGAAAGATTACATTTGGTATACATTCCTATTCTACAGCATTAACCTCAAAATCAGCTTTTTCTATTCATTATTTTAAAGGAATTTCTCTACACAAGTACATTTGTCTTTTATCACAAGCATCAAAATGAAATTTGTAAAATTGCCTTTTTTTTAATTATTTTCTACACTTCATATCTTTTATTTCATTATGCTCCCAACAAAGCGATTCCATATTAATTAATAACTGCCAACACTTTTTCTTTCTTCCTTGGCAGTTCGAGGCTTCGAGCCTCGGACGCAAAATCTAATCACATATACAATAAGTGCATCTACGGAATTTTTTCTTTTTAATAAAAATTTCACAAACGGACACAATAATGACTGCTAAACACAAGTCATGCACAGTTTACTTATAAACATAACAGAAGCAATATACAATCAAGAATGATATGGAACAAGCACCATCCTTTCTCAATGTTTTTTAAACATTATATGAAAACCAGACATTTACAATTGATTTAAAAAAACACTATACAGGTCTAAAGGAAAAAAAAAATCCAACCTAAATCATATCTGTATTGTAACAATGGGAAAAGGAATGACATAGGATGCACAGATTTATGATTCTTGCAAGCACAATATATATATGTTTTAAATTACATCTTCTGCAGGCTGGAAATGACATCAGGGCAAAACATCTCTTGCTTTGAAGAGAGCAATGAGAATGTAAAATACACTGAGAATTACTTTCAGAATTACTTTGTTCACATGTGAATTGCACATTTGGAAAATCAAAGCTGCCTTTTTTTTCTTTTTCGTTCTTTTTTTTTTTAAATTTTTTTAATTTTTTTTTTAATTTTTATTTTTAAATTTCTTCTTCCAAAGTGGTAATAAGAATTAACGACAGAAGAAAGAGAAAAAAAGAACCTCGGAATCATTCAAGAACGTTTTAGTCACAGTTTCACTCAACACTACGGAGAAGTTTCATGGCTTTGTGAGAACACTACTGACCACCAGCGAGGAGCAGAGGGTTTTGCCCTTGTGTTGCCAGCACTGACCCGAGCGACGCCACTCCTGCCCTTGGGGACAGCGCTGTCCCCAAGGCTCAGGGTCCCCCCCAAAAAGGGGCAGGGTCCCCAGCGCTGCCCCCCGCCACACACACACACACACAGAGTACAGCACGTAAAAACCGAGTGGGAAGTCAGCAGATTGGCCTGGCCGGGGGGCACGGGGGGGTCACCATCCAGTGCTTTGATGCTCAGCGCCAAACACGTTCACCTCATTGTGCAAGTGCTTCCAAAAGGCTCCGTCCGCCACGGCAGAGAGGAGCTGCTCCCAGGAGCAGCCACCGAGGGCCTAAGTGCTGATTGGGGAGGGGGCAAAAGCTTCCTCTGGCTGTCCGAGGGAGGACAGGAGCCCAGCAGGGTGTTTGTCCCGGAATCAGCTGGGCACACCCGCTGGTGTTTGTGCAGCCCCCTTTGGGTTTGGGGTCCCGCGCTGCGACGTCCCCGCGGTGCCTGGCCAAGCATGGCCTGCTGGCCTGGGACACCTTGGAAAGGCACCCAGAGCAGCCTGAGCACCAAAGGGAACACCCCAGGGATGAAGCCAGCAGCCCAGCGGGAGAACTGGGTGCCTCAAGGTGTCCTGCAGGACCTGGCACCTCAGCACAACCCGTGGGAGAACCTCAGCTCTTCCCAGCGGAGAGCTCCCAGCTGTCTGCACCAGCCACAGAGATCACACCAGGAACAACCACCAGCTCCGAGCTGGTGGGAAGCAGGGAATGCACTGACACGAGACCCACATCATCCTCCCTGAGCAGCTCAGGCAGGAAGGTCCAGCCCTGGCCAAAGTGAGGGCCCTTCACAGGGCACCAACACTTCAGCCTTGCGCAGCTCCCAGCCCCACCTGACCACCCCAAAAATCCCCAGGGCTTCTCCTTCTCTCCTCTGTGCTGTTACAGCTGTGAAAATACTTTAAATAAATAGATCCTACACAAAGCTCTGGGTTTAAACCACACCTGGAGCAGTGCCCTGGCTACTGGACACACCACAGCCACTTCCCATCCCTGCCACCCTCACCTGCCCTGGATCCCAGCAGGTCCCACCACAGCTCCATGTCTCACCAAAGCTCCCAGAGCTTCCCCAGCACTGGGAAGCCAGCAGTGCTCTGCTAGCAGAGCATCCTGGACAACAAACCTCTCAGGAAGCAGCCTTGAAAAGGTGAGATTCTCTGCTAAAGCAGCAAATGGAACCTCCACACCTGCTGTGAGCTACAGCACATTCCAAGTGCAAGCCAACAAAAGGTAGAGGTCAACAAAAGTTCAGTGAGGCTTCCTGTTTCTTTATCTTAATGGGGAAAATTGAAACTTGTAATCAGTGCTAAATTAGAGGAGTCGGGAGATTCTACAACACAAGCTAGAGAAAATGGGGAGAAACTGAATTAGGAAATATGAAAAGAAAAAAAAATCATGATTTTAAACCCTATATTTTTAATGTCCTCAATCTCTGGCTGGATAATACCTCCCTATCCTTGCCAGGGGCCCTCAGGAGATCCATGGAGAGCCAGGATGAGCCTGAGGAGGGGGACAGCAACAGTGTGAGCTAAGTCAGAGCAAGGACCTGACCAACTGCTTCTGGAGAAATGACACAACTGGCAGCAGGGATGAGAAAGGGACAGGGAAACTATAAATATCCCAAATAAATCCGCACAATAACACTTGCATTCCTTAGTATTGGCCCACATTTGGTGTCCAGTTCAATGCCACTCCCTGGGCTGCTCTGTCACCTCCCCATGCTGTGGAGTGCAATGCTGACCTGCCCTGAGGTTTCTTCAAGGGTGAACAAGCCATGGTCAGAGCACACAAACACTCACTGCTGCCCACAGACCCTGTTCCAGCACGGCAGAGAGATGCTCAGACATGTGGTTTGTTCCAAACAGCTGCCAGGAGTCATGGAGCTGCAGCTGGAATGGGACAGGATGGATCCATCCCCAAGTTTAAGGCTGTTCCCATGTTCTCCTGGAGCTCCTCCTCCTCCTCCTGTGCTGCTCCCAGTCACTGGAACCTTCCTGTAATGGCCCAGGAGCCTCAAGGCAAAGGGGAGCTGAGGGATGATTGTCTGGGGATCAGCAGCACCACTGGCAGCACTGACTGGGATCATTTGGCACATGGACAAAACCTTCCTGCTCCCTGCTTGTCCAACATCCAACCTCAACAGCACGATTTTGGTCCTTCACTACATACTTGTATTAACATGATTTCTTCACAAGAATGATAGATAATGTAAAAAAAATACTGTTAAGGAAGAAATAAAATAAGAAAGGAATTAGCCCAAAATGACAAGTTATATACAGATTAAAATAAATTCCATCAGGAAAAGAAACAATTCTTTTATTATTTTCAGTTGGCCCCTGTGGAAATAATTTAAAGGCCAAGTGCCTGGGCAGGGCTGTGCTGCAGCCTGTGGGGATGGGATGGGATGGGATGGGGTGGATGGGATGGGATGGATGGGAGGGATGGGATGGGATGGGATGGGATGGGATGGGATGGGATGGGATGGGATGGGACGGGATGGGATGGGACAGGGCTGTCCCTCTCCTCCACAGAGCCGGGATTCCTCCGGCAGGGTTGGCTCTCCTACCCAGGAGCTTTGTGCAAATACATGAAGCAGCTCGGTCACACCGCCTGGTGCTCTCAGAGCCTTGGGCACTTTCACAGGATGTTGTGGAAAACCAAAAAAGGGAGGGTAAATTTTCTTGGGAAAACACACTGTTGCTAATTTACCTTTTGTTCCCTCTGTACCAAAGCCACCCTGGATGCTTTCCTGGGGGGGCACTCTGAGGCTCCCCAAAATCAGCCTCACATGTGCTCTTGGGTGCAAAGCTGACTTGCAAAGGTGTCACACCCAACTCTGACTCTGCTTTGCTCAGGGAGCTTGTTCCATTGTTTTGGCCTGCTGGAATGAGGCTTCCCACACTAGACCGGCCTAGAACCCTCCATCTGCCCTTTTCCATGGCTTTCCCAACCATTCCCAAAAGGAATGTCATCTCCAAATTCCCTGCTCCAACAGAGGCTGGGAATTGCAGCAGAGAACAGCACAAAGCCCCCAGGATTTGTGGAGGCTGCTGTGTATCAGTAGACAAGATGAGGTTTGAAAGTGATTGGAAATCACTCATAAAATCTCTATGAGAAGTTTTAGTCAGAGAGACAGCTGGATTCTTATCTCCATGTTCTGCACCCCTGAGGCTGCTGGAGCATGGAAATGTTCATCTTTCTACTTAAATTACAGGCCAAGCAGCAGCAGGCAGTGCAGAGGGAAAACCAGGCCAAACCAACGGTGTGAATCAGAGATCTGTGCCACAGATACCATCAGCACAGGGTGATGTCACCCTGAAACCCTGACACATGAGCAGATGTGTCTGAGCTGCCCTGGGTTTGCCCAGCACACGTTTCCTTATGCACAACCAGGAAGAGCTTTACCCTGTGACCTCTCTTCTTAGGCAAATCCAAGCATTTCCAGGAGTTCCACCATGCTGGCTCTGTCCCAGGCACTCCCACAGGAACCAGGAGGGGCAGGGAGCTCTCCCAGCCTCGCTCAGGGCACAGGGGACCATCCATGTCCGTGTGACACATCTGTCACCCCAGCCTCAGCACTGTTCCAGGCTGGGAGCTGCATGTGGCTCACGAGGACTGCAGGCAACGTGGCCTCACCTTGGAGGAGCTTTGCACTGTGCCAGTGTTTGCTGGGAGCAAAGGACAGGATGGTGTTTCTGTGGGAGTACAGAATTCCAAATTCTTTTGTGGGGGTCAGTTAAGTGCGTTGAGTTTGCCTTTCCCTGACATAACTCCAGTGGCTGTGTCACAGTTGCAGCGGGGACAGGTCACACCTGGCTCTCTTCCCTTGGTGCTTCACCATGCAGCTGGATGGGAAGGAAATGCTGCCCTGTGGTTCCAAGCTGTCGCTCCTGCTCAGGCTGTGCTGGCTCAGTGACACTGGTTTGGAAGGTTGGAGGGGCCAATCTTTGATTGCCCTGTTGCAATTCGTGTCTTGCTCATGCTATTCCTACAGGCTGTGAAATCCTGGGGCTGCTTCAGGGTTATCCAGTTTGGGAGAGGTTCATTGTGATAAATTAGAAAGGAAAACTCTAGAGAGATAAAAATGCAGGACGTGTAGGTCAGATGTGACAGGTTTCCTTCTCAGCCCAAAGTCCAGACGACTCCCTGAGGCCCTCTCATCCATCTTCTGCTCGCTGGGATTTTGCTGGGATGGCTGCAGCACCACCACTGCCTCACCTGGGCTCTGGCCAGTGCCTTGTGGACCTCTCAGAGGTGGTTGATGGGGTTAAAGGTCCCCGACTCTGAAGCTGCTCCTGCCATGTCCAGCCAAGCCCCCAGAGAGTTCTGGGAGGACGTGTGGAGGGGAGCGTTCTCAGACAGGGACAGCATCATTGCATAAGCCTGGGGGAGAGAGGGATGCAAGGGCACCAGTGAGAAAACAGGGTGGAGAACGTTGTGTAAAACACAGCACCACCTAACCCTGCCCACCAGGAACAGCAGCATCCTCTGGGCTGGGCTCAACTCACATCCACGCTCTGGGATGGCACCCACCTCTCAAAAAACCAGATTTGTCATTGGTGTATTTTTAATTTACCTAATGGTTTATAGGGACAGTCAGGAGACACCGTCATTCCCACTGGTTTTCACAGGACCAAACCCATCCTGCACTGCCTGTGCTCTGTGACAAACCTCCACATGATTCCAGGTTCTGCTCCCAGAAGAAAGCAGCCGATACTGGGGTTTCTTTTTAAAAAAAATTACATTCCCAGTCGTCAGTGAGGCTGGGCTGGGGCAGCGGTGCCCTGGCAATGGGGCAGCAATGCCCAGTGGGAAGTGGTGAGCAGCTGCTCATCCTGACTTGATGCCTGGCGTGACCCCACTGGTGATGCCAGCGTGGATATTTAGGGATGTGGAATTCTCACTGGCATGACCAGTGTGGTCAGGGTGGGTTTATTGCTGCAGTGAAACCCTCAAAGGTGTCTGGTGAGAGAAATGCAGTGAGATTTGTTTGTCCTCTAACAAACTGCTGGTTCTGTGTAACCTGGCTGCTCTCCCTCCAGCAGGACACAAGATTTGCCTCACACACCTCTCTGTGCCCTTTCTCAGCCCACACGAGTGATGTGAGGGCTCAGGCAGATGAGAGCCTCATACAGCAGAGGGGAAAACCAATGTCATTGTCACCATGGCCTGAAAAAGAGGAGCACACGGTCCCCACCCTCCCCACCACCCTGCCTCAGGGAAGAAGTACAGTTTTTGGGTTTTGTGGACACACACTTCTAAAATTGCTTAAAAGTAAGCCAAAGGAGTGCTGTGCTGCTCACACCAAGGTTTTATATTACCTGCCAAAAGATGGGTCAAATTATTTAAGTTGCTTATTGTGATTCAAGTGTAAAACAGAGTCAAAACCCAAAAAATGCCTTTCCCATCCAAGCACAGGCTGTACCAGGGTGGTACATTGGAAAAGAGCAAGCTGCTCCCAAAGAGTTAGTGCATTTGGGATGTTAGTGACAGGACACAGGGCAGAGTCAGGCAAGTGGCTTGTGTTCAAATGGGTGTCACCCCAAAAAACTGCTGTGCTCTGTCTTCCAGCAGCCCCTCCCCAGCCTCACTACTGGCACCCACTATGGAGGAGGAAAAAACATTTCCCAAGTTTTGGATGATGCTAATTTAAAAATCATGTTTTGTGTGGTGGCTGCATTAAGCTACTGCTCTGCTGGGCATTTGAAATAGATTTTGGGATAAATTCTGTTGCTTTAGGACCCTCTATTCCTCCTCTATTTCAATTTAGAAAGGGCTGCTGAGGTGGGAGCTGTTCTCATTCCCCAGCAGGGGCTGTGTCCTCTCTCCAGCCCAGCCTGCTGAGGTAACTTCACTGAACAGTTCTTCTGTGAGAATCCTCGTGGAGGGATCAAGAGATGAACTCCATAAACCCAGTCTGGGTATTTTGGCTAATGAAAAAGCAGAAAGCACACACAGACCTGCCCCAAACCTCCAGATTTATCTCAGAGCTCCAGTAATTCTGAGATGCCATTCTGATGGTGTTTGGTGGGTCTAAACTGGTCTTGCTCACAGGGCTGGGATTTTTCTTTTCCATTTTGTGGTTTACTTTTAGAACTCAAGGAAATAAACAAGGATACCCTCTAGACATGCTGGGTTGCAAGTCCTGGATATATTCTTGTCTTTCACACCTGTTTTAATCAAACCCAAGGGCACTTTGTTGCTGTTTCTGCAGACCAAACCTCAGTGGTTACCAACAAAAGAGCCACCCCAAAGTATAAATAAATAAGGAGATATAGAAACATTTATACAGACAGATAAAAACACACAAATGCCTCTCTCTGCCTGCACAGCCCCGTTCTCACTGCACAGGCTGAGATAAATCCATCTAAAGGTGATGCCCACTCCCTTCCTCCTCTATTTCAATTTAGTTGCAACAAGACACATTAATGTATGAGCTAGAATTCTTGCTGGAAAGGGGGAATAACCTTCTGGAAGGGGAAAATAACCCACTGGAAAGCTGGAATAACAATCTGGAAGGGGAAAATAACCCACTGGAAAGGTGGAATAACATTCTGGAAGGGGAAAATAACCCACTGGAAAGGGAAAATAACCCTTGGCTGGAGGAGGCCAGCTGCTCCCTAATCCTGCTGTACACGCTGGTGGCAAGCTAGGAAAAGGTTCTGGATATACCCACCTGGTTTTTAGCCTGCCTGTACAGAGTCTGTTTTATTGCCTCAGAGTCTAAGGTGGAATTAAACACATCTTTAACTTCAAATGCTTCCTCGGCCGCTTTGCGGAGATCCAGCCCCTTCCCAAAATTCGGCATCTGCTCCAAATCTAACAGGCCGGCTTCGTCCTCCTCAATACACCTGTACCAATGACCAGGGGAAGGGGTGACCTGTGTTAGCTCGTCTGGCCCACAGCCTGCATGCACCACCCACGGGGGCTCACCAGCCACATGCGTGAAGGGATGGACAGACGGACACGGACACGGCATGGCATGGGGAGGAGTGAGGAGGAAGTGGAAAGCAACAAGCAGCAGGTTCTGTCTGAGGCTCTGTGTCACCACGTTTCTCTTCACGGAGAAAAGCAAGGCACAACTTGCCAAGACATTTCTGGGATTTGTATTCTCTGAACCTCAGAGAAGGGAAAAACAATTATCTCATTTATTGCTCCTGTGTTTGTTTGTAGCCATGATATTTTATGAAAAATCCTTTGCTAAGATTTTTTCCTCTTGGGAAACTGAGGAGCTTCAGGAGAGAAATGTAAACAATAACTATCTGCTGCTCTGGAATGCAACAGGTGCATCTTCCATTGGTCCATGTGGATTGTTTTCACTTGATGACCAATCACAGCCACCTGTGCCGTGAACTTTTGAACTTTTCTCCTTTGTGCGTGCACTGTGGTCCCCTGGTGCTTATCTGAGTAGGTCTGTTGGTTTGGATCAGCTTGGAGACAGAGGAGCTCCTTAGTCTAGGCTTCTTGCATTCCCTGGTCTTCTCCTGGTGTTATGAGTAAAAAAGTTATCTGTAGCTATGATATTTTATTAAAAATCCTTTCCTAGGATTTTTCCCCTCCTGAGGACTGAGGAGCTTCAGGAGAGAAATGTAAACAATAACTATCTGCTGCTCTGGAATGCAACAGGTGCATCTTCCATTGGTCCATGTGGATTGTTTTCACTTGATGACCAATCACAGCCACCTGTGCCAAGGCTGTGAGCAGTCACAAGATTTTATGTTTTATATTCTTGTTCTTTCTAGCCTTATGATGATCTTTTTCTCTCTATTCTTTTAGTACTGTTTTAATGTAGTATTTTAATATAATATATATCATAAGAAAATAAACCAGCCTTCTAAGAGCATAGAGTCAAGCCTCGCGTCTCCACACATGAAACACCAGACACAACATTTGTTCACAAGTGGAATGCATCGTGGAAGATTGTTTACCTGAAGGGAATTGGGAATTGGATTCTGGTGTGGGTGTTTTGATTCACTGACCCATTGGGTCATTCACACCCATTGTGTGTGTTGGGACTGTCAGAACAGTCATGGGATTCTGTGCAGTGGAGTGCTTGGCAGATTCAGTTTAAATGTAATATAATATAGAATAATATAGTGTAATAAAGTAAAATATGTATTTTATATATATTTATATAAATATATATATAATCTGTAACTTAGTATAATATAGTAAAATAATAATTAATTAGCCTTCGGTGACAGTTCTGCACTAAAACCAGCAGTGCTTTTAAGCTGAGGAAGGCATCACTCAGTGTTGTGTGGTTTGTGCTGGGAATACCCCCAGAAACTGGGGCAAGCTGCAGCAAAAAGAGAGCTGAGCCTGTGCTGTGTGCAGCAATCTTTCATTCTGAAGGTGTTCAGACATGGCTTGATCTTGGGGGAAAAGTCCTTCACTTTTTATAGAATAATGGGATCTGGTTTGGGTTGGGAGGGACCTTAAAAGATCGTCTCATTTCACCCTCTGCCATGGGCTATCCCAGGGTGCTCCAAGCCCTGTCCAACCTGGCCTTGGACAATTCCAGGGACGGGCAGCCACAGCTGCTCTGGGCACCCTGTGCCAGGGCCTCACCACCCTCACAGGGAAGGATTTTCCTTAAAGATCAAACCTATATCTCTCTTCTTTCAGTTCAAATCCATTCCCCCCTGTCCTGTCACTCCAGGCCATTGGAAAGAGTCTCCCTTCATATTTCCAGTAGTTTCTTTCAGGCACTAGAAGGTCACCTTGGAGCCTTCTCTCCTCCAGGCTGGACAATCCCAGTTCCCTCAGCCTTTCCTGCCAGCAGAGCTCCTCCATCCCTCTGACCATCCTGGGGCCTCCTTTGGACTCTCTGCAGGGGCTCCAGGTCCTTCCTATGCTGGGACCCCAGGGCTGGAGGCAGCTCTGCGGGTGGGGTCTCACCTGGGCAGGGCAGAGGGGCACAATCCCCTTTTTGCCAGAGCTCCAAGAATATTTTTGCTCCAACTCAAAGGGCCACAGCAGCACCAAAGGCATTGCATAGACACCTCTTCCCTTGCCCTGATCAGAGTTTTGGAGAGACAAACAACATCTGTGGGGCTGTGGTACCCTGAACACTCTGGGTTTTGTATCTGTTCTGCTCCAGACTCCTCTTCCCTTGCCCTGACCAGAGTTTTGGAGAGAAAAACGACATCTGCTGAGCTGTGGTACCCTGAAAACTTTTGTGTCTGTTCTCCTGCTCTAGACTCCTCTTCCCTTGCCCTGACCAGAGTTTTGGAGAGAAAAACGACATCTGCTGAGCTGTGATACCCTGAACAGTCCAGGTTTTAGGTATGTTCTCCTGTTTAGACTCCTCAAGCCTTGGATGTCATTCCAGCCTCTCCTTGCAGTCCACTTGTCTCATGTCCCCCCCAAAAATGGTGAAATGGAATCTGGAGTGAAGGTTTGAATCCAACCAGAGGCATGGCATGGCTTGGAGAACAAACCCACAGCACTCACGATGCACCACGGACACGGGCAGGGGGCTGAGCCCCCCGGGAATGGCCCCCTCACCTTCGGGTGTGGTCAAAGCTCATGGTGAGAGACGTGGGCTCCTCATCCTCCTCATCCTCGAATGCTCCCCGGGGCTCTGCCGTGGGCGACGCCGTCTCGTCCTGGGACTTCCCAGTCAGGCTGTCGTCATCTTCCTCTTCCAGTTCTTCGTCCTCATCGTCCACATCTTCTGTCTTCTCGTTTGCCAGTCCGTGGCACTGGGAATTGCCATCAATATCCTGGATTTCTGGCCTGAAATGTTTGGTTGAAGGGTAGGGAGGAGGAGAAGAAGAAGAAAGAAGTGGGAAAAAAAAGATGGCAAATGTTTCAGTCGTGTATTCCCATTGGAATGCAAGACTTTGATAATGTTATCTAGAGATATGAACACAGAGACACATTTATATACATGTACATATTATTTAAAATGTAACAAAGAAGAAAATCAATGTGCTTTAGGCATTTAAAAATCACCCTTCACTGTTCCTAAGGGTCAATGAGCACACTGAGAATGCACCAGCCCCCAGGCTTTTTGAGGTATAAAAATGGATTTAAATGCTGGTTTTTCATCTCTTAAAATTAACATTTGTGAGACAAGCAGCCTTCCTCCTTCTCTGGGCTCAGTCCTCCAACAATTTCCCTTTGAGCAAACAGCAGGAGGAAGCTTCTACCAGGCAGCCTGAATTCCCTCTTGCATTGTTCATGCCTGTCCTGTCAGCAGATAATTTTATTTCCTTGCCTACCTTTTATCCGCTAAAGCCGACGCTTGATTCATCTCGCTATTGGCAATAAAATTTCTGATTTCCGAGAAATAGGAATCCTCTTTTTCGTCTAAAAGTGCATGGTTGTCTGATTCCGAGGTGGGGGAGGAGGCGCTGGTCCCGAGGTGGTTGGTGATGACTCCGGAGTGCTGGCTCACTGTGGGGCAGGAGCAGGGACAGGACAGACAACAGGACACTCCATCAGGTGGTGGCAAGGCCAGGGTTATGAGGAAACATGAAGTAAGAATGTTCTCAACAGCATTCACACTTTATACTGATTGTTTAACACTCAAGAAGAAAGTCGTGGAGCAAAGATCCCAAAGGAAGATTGTCCAGACCAAAATACAGGTGATATTTAGCATTTAGGGTCAATACACACAATTTAACAACCATTGCAGAACTGTTTGCCTACAACTTCATCACAGCAATTCCTTCCTTTCATTTTTTAATGTCAAAACCTCTTTATCTTCTTGAACTTCCAAAAAAACCTAAAAACAATCCTAAAAACTCATCCTTAGGGGGACAGTGCATTCCAGTGAAGCTTTCCAAGGGCCAAGACCATGGAGTCTCCTCTCTCCAGCGGTCCCAAGGGTGTTTCCCTACCTGAAACATTCTAGCAAAGATCCCAAAGGAAAATTGTGTTTTCCAGACCAAAATACAGGTGATATTTGGCATTTAGGGTCAATACCCACAATTTAACAACCATTGCAGAGCTGTTTGCCTACAACTTTTCCGTAATACATCTTTTTACCCATGGTGGGAAATCACTTGGCTTCATCAGAGCAATTCCTTCTTTTCATTTTTTTATCTTAACAGCAATTCCTTATTTTCATTTTTTTTTAATGTCAAAACCTCTTTATCTTCTTGAACTTCAAAAAAAACCCCTACAAACAACCCTCCAAACTCATTCTTAGGGGGACAGTGCATTCCAGCGAGTTGCCTACAACTTTTCCATCATACATCTTTTTACCCATGGTGGGAAATCACTTACTTGGCTTCATCACAGCAACTCCTTCCTTTCATTTTCTTATGTCAAAACCTCTTTATTTTCTTAAACTTCAAAAAAAACCCCTACAAACAACCCTCCAAACTCATCCTTAGGGGGACGGGGCATTCCAGCGAGGCTTCCCAAGGGCCAAGACCATGGAGTCTCCTCCCTGCAGTGGTCCCCAGGGTGTTTCCCTACCTGGAACGTTCTCGTGCTCGTGCTTCTTCAGGTGCCTGTCGAGGTTGGTCTGCTGCCCAAAGCACCTGTTGCACAGGTGGCACTTGAATGGCTTCTCCTTGTTGTGGATGTTCCTGACGTGCCGCTGCAGGTTGGAGGAAATGCTGAATGACCTGTCACAGTATTTACACCTGGAAAACAACAGCAGATGGCAAAGAATGCAACGTGAGGAGAAAAATTTAAAAAAAACCCCAAACAACAAAAAAAAAAGGGAGAAAAATCTGACTATCAAAACCCCAGGAAATGTTGGTCTATAAATCTTTACTCAGGAGTAAAGATTGTGCTGAAGGAAGCACAAAGCATTAATCATCCCAGACAAATCTGATATTATTGTTACTCAAGGAGCACAAAGAAAGGATTAGGATTAATTAGGAAGTCGTCCAAATAAATAAGAGTTTGAAACAAAATAATTACTTTTCCATGCATGAATGTAGGAAAGAGAGAGGTGGATTTATTCCTTCCACATTTTTTGAGAGGAATCAGGTGAAATATGGCTGAGGAGGGAGGACAAGGAAGACAGAAGAAGAAAGAAGGGAGGTGAAATGTATAAAATAGTTATGAACTGGCAAATCCCTGCATGACAGTTAGCTGGACACACAGAAAATTCCGTCTTTATTTGTGAATTCCTTGTGGTACTGGACATGCAGGGATTACAGCATGGCTTTAAAGGTCATTATAACTATTCTTATAGCAAAGAAATCCACCATCCTTTCCAAACAGGGTAAGATTTACTCCTAGGAGTGAAAATCTGGTTTTTGATGAAAACCTGGAATGCAAGGAGCCAAGCCAGGCTGTTCAGGGGAGCTGCTGAGTGAGGAGATGTTCCCTCTCTGAGCTCAGTCTCTGCAGGACCCACGGCAGATGGGCTGGGGGCTTCTTCAAAGCCACCACCTCCCTTTTTCGGGTTTAGATTCCCTCCAAATAAATCGGAATTGCTCGGGGTGGTGGTGAGGGCTCCCAGCTCCCAGCGCAGAGCGGGAGCCGCTGATGGACTGAAGGTGGCAGCTCCGAGCTGCGGTGGAGAGTTTGGGTCTAAAACTCCTGAAAACCTCATTCCTGCCCGAATCCTCCGATTCCCTCCTTCCATCTCCCTTTAAACACGTCACTTGTACCTCAGCAAAGCTGCTCCCCCACGGCTCTGCTTCCAAAACCCACGAGCAGCAGAATCTGTCTCTGCTGCGGAGCTCCGCAAATCCTGGACGCTTCCAAAATTCCAGCTCTTCCCAAACCCTTGTAATCCCAGAATAAATCCACACCAGCAGGCTCCGGACTCTGGATTTATTCCAGAATAAATCCACTCTGAGCTCCTCTAACCCATCGTCTGCCTCACGGAGCCGAGCTACTCTTCCATGGGAATCCTGGAATTCCAGAATGATTTTGGGACTCTAAACCCCTCCAGTGCCATCTTTGCCATGGGCAGGGACAACTTCCACTATCCCAGGTGGCTCCAAGCCCTGTCCAGCCTGGCCTTGGACACTCCCAGGCATGGGGCAGCCTGTGCCAGAGCTCCCCCAGCACTCCAGAACACGGAGATGGAGATTTTGGGAGTATCAGCAGCTCCTGATGTGCTCAGGCTTACCCCATGCCTGCCTCACTCAAGGATGGAGCTGGATGTCCCTGGGCACAGAGGACATGGGATTCTTCCCTACAGACACAACAGTGGAGTGGAAAAGATCCCTGCTGTGAAACACACACGCCCCATTTCCAGATGTGCTCCAGCTGGGATTTTTATTCGGTCTCTAAAAATAAATCGATATTATTTTTGGAAAAAGTGGGGATACATTTATGAAACACTCTCTCCTGCTGAATGTTTATGGATTCCATGTCCACCTCCGAATTTCCTACTGCTAAATCTCCAACAAGAATAAAGATATTTCAAATAATGGGCTTTTATTAGGATTAAGCAAGGCAGAGAGTAAAATTTTTAAACCACAGCATTTCCAGACCTGAAGTATTTAGTTTTCCTCTTTTTTTTTTTCCCAAAAACCCCCAAATAACTCTAGAAAACAATAAATTATTTGAACATCAGCAAGAACAATCACACAGAGATTTATCAAGAACAATCTGTACAGAGAGTTAAACAGGGATTTCCAGCACCAAGGAATTTGCTCTCACATTCCTGTTCAGCACTCCAGCAAACTGCAATATCCCAAACCTGCCAATATCCCAATATTCCTGATATTCCATGAGATTTTCATGAGTGGGTTTATCCAGCTTCCTTCTCATCCTTGATGATGCCAACGTTTTTTTCTCCCTGACTGCACTCACCAGCTCCTAAAAAACCCTTTTTTTGTGTGTCCCAGTGCCTGGCACAGGGAATACCTGGCACAGTGGGCACCAGGATAACCCATGTTCCCAGCCTGGCTGTCCCTGCCAGGAGCAGCTCCAGACATTTAACAACAACTCAAGGCAGGAACGACCTGGCCTCCTCCACATCCATTTATTTAGATGTTCAGGAAGCCTTTGAAAAGTTCCCTGTGACAGGTCCTGGCCCTAACCATGAGCTATGTGGATGCAGGGTCGGGATAAAGAGCTTGTTAAAAAAATAGGAACCAGAGGGGCACTGGGAAGGAGCAGGGAATGCCTGGGAGCAAAGGGATGAGGGAGATGTCCGGCGTTATTTGTGGTCCCAGAGGGGTCAGTGCTGGGAGCTCTGCTGGTTTTAATCTAAATAAATGGCCCAGGCAGAGGAACCAGCTGAAATTCAGGGAGAGGGGTGAAGAGTGAGGGAGGAGAAGAATAAAACTCAAAGGCAGCGGTGTTTGCTTTGCAAACAGCCCCACAAAGCTTCTCCCTTATCAGCTGAAAGGCTGAAAACATCCAAATGGGAGGGAGGGACAGCGAGGAAGGAGCCAGGGCTGGAGCTGGGGAGCTCTGACAGGAGATCCTGGGAGCTGCAGGAGCTCGGGTACCTGGGACAACACGGGCCAAAGCAGGGAGCCAACCCTGGGAACGTGGGGAGGATTTCCCCAGTGCCTCTCATGAAGTTTTGCACTGATCAGTGTGAGCTGGAGAGGCAGAATTGCAGGAAAAAACAAAAAAAAAAAACATGGATAGCAACTCCCTCTCTGAGTGACTCCTCAGCCCCAAGTGCATTTTTAGCAGGGGTGAGCTCAGGCTGCATTTTGAAAATCAAAAAATGAGAAATAGCTTCAATATTTATTGAACTATGTGCAATTTAAATGCCATGGTAGATGTCAGCTGTGCCTGTGAGTTCCAGCTTAATGCAGACAACAGGACATGAGGCCTCTAAGGACCTTTTTATTCTGAATTCTGAAATACATAGTACAGATTTTCAGGTTTGGTGCAGAAACAAAAACAAAAGTGAAAAGAAACATGTTGAATTTCACTGTAGGGCACAGGGGCTCGGAGCATTTTCAAATAATTTTATTTTTAGGAAGTGCATCACCAGGTATTTCTCACTCTTCAGAAAACATGTTGCATTTTCTCTTTATAAAAAGAATTTGCCTCATTATTGGTCATGTGCTATTAATTCCTGCTTTATACATAATTAGACTTTTTAAGTAGAAGTTTGAGTAACTTCATATCCCCCCCAAAAAAAAGTCCTAAAAATTTAATCGGTGATTATCAGGAATCAAATCCAAACCACCTTATTTTCTAACCTGTTGTCTTTAAGAACAAAGCAATTAATATTTGGATTAATACTGAAATTATTATAGATTAAAATATTTTTATAGGGTAAAAAAACAAATTAAACAATCAAAAACAAAATTGTAAAGAAGACAACAATAAAACACTGAAAAATCAGCAACCTCCTTTTACCTGCCTGAAGTCAGCACTTAAAAACCAAGCTTTCAAAATAAGTCTGGCTGCCAAAGCTGCAAATCTCAGTTCTCTGAGAGGAAAAGCAAATCAATGATAATTAAAGCTCGTCTGTAAACGCAGCCCCGGCTCTCCGGAGTGCTGTTAGAATGCAACATTGTCCAGGAGTCAGACCTCTAAAAAACCCACACAGGCTATTTTCTGGGAGAAGACCAGATCAAATAAATCTTTATTTTCCTAACCTTTGTTAAGTTGCAAGTCTCCTTTTTTGGAAGAAAACCGAACTAAAGATCTCGGAATAATCGGGAGTGAGAGCTGCAGTGGACAGGGAGCACACAGGAATATCAAATAACACAACCCCAAACATCACAGCAGGGATATAATCCAAAATATATGTCTGCTTTGGGGGGTGGTGGTGTATTTTTAATTTACCTAATGTCTACACTAAAAATGCTGGATGGAAAATAAACGTGATTCTCAGCGTAGCAGGGATTACAATGTGGGAGAGTCAATTCTTAGGTTAAACTGAGCATAAAAATGTGATGTATTTGACCACATGGCCTTTTGCTGCTCATAAATTTGTGTTTCTCTTTATTTAATAACTGCTCCATTTGCTTTGTTGTGAACTTATGGCTGTGTATGAAACGCTGCAATATCAGCTACCCAAAACGAAATGGAATTGTTACCATTGTTTGACAACCTGCAAAACACTCCCTCACATCATGGCAAGCACAAGGCTTGATTTGCAGCAAGCTCTCAATTCATCATTCCTTCAGGTTTGCTCATTTCTGGACTTCATTTTAACTAAAAAGGCATTTTTCCCCCAAGTTTTTTTAAAACTGCTTGTAACTCGCTGGGAGAAAATGCTGGAGGGAAAGATTTCCATGAGAAATAGTTATTTATATACACAGGCACACATATTACATGTATTTTCTTGTGAGTTTTATTCAGATCTAAAAATCTGAATAAAAAATTTATTCAGATTTTAAAATCCTGACTTAGGCAGGAGCCACAGAACCCACTGGGCTGGGACACTGTCCTTGTGCACATTGAAGCATCAAAATCACATCACCTTGTCCCCAGCTAACAGAAAAGAGCTCAGCCTTCTACCTTAAACACTCACAAACGTGAGACTCTGTGTGACTCCCCCCATCCCAGCTCTCCTTTTAAACTCCATGATTTAAGCTCAGAAACTACCAAAATTCAGTTTTAAGGCAGGTAAATCAACACGTTTTTGCGTATTGCATTTTCTCTTTATAAAAAGAATTTGCCTGGTGTATATTATGTATGAAGTAGGGATTAATAGCACACTACTCATGTGCTATTAATTCCTACTTTATGCATAATTAGACTTCTTAAGTAGAAGTTTGAGTGACTTCATAGGCCCCCCCCAAAAAAAACTCCAAAAAATTTAATCAGTGACCATGAGGAATCAAACCCAAGCCTTTGTTTTTTTGATCCCCTACTCCAAGCACCTCTGATGTGCATTAAGAAAAGAAAAAAAAAACCCAGCTAGCCCCAGCAGTGAAGGTCCTGGCAAGCCCTTCAAACCAGCCTGAATTTCAGAGCCATTCAGCACCTTCAGCTGTCCTTGAGATGAATGGTTAACGTGAGTGTGAAACAACACTGCAAATCAGAGCCCTCATTTGCCAGCATACATCTAAATATAAGTTAAGTGTCTATCTTCGAGCTGCCAAGCCTGATTATTTTTGGCTGGTACACATAATATACAACCCTATGAATCACTCTGTGTAATGCTCCAGGCCTGTGGTATTCTGCTGGCACAGATTTATAAAGGAGAGGGGGGGGAAATACCAGAGTGGTGAGTGAGGAGTGTTTGGGAAAGGGTTTTTTATGGGGGACAACATCACCTGTAAGGCTGCTCCCCAGTGTGTGTCCGCAGATGCCTCGTCAGGTTGGCTGAGCGTGGGAAGATCTTGCCACAGTACCTGGACAGGGAGAGCCAAAGGAAACCATCAGGAGAAGCAAAGGAAACCATCAGGAGAGCCCCTGGATGCTGTGGGAGATGGATTTGTAGGGAATTCTCCAAGCCTGGCAGAAGGCTCACACAGCGTGCAAACCTTGAGATAAGAAATGGTGACTTAGAAAAGGGAGAGGACGGACGTTGCTGAGAGAGAAATGGAGTTAGAAAGTTTCAAAGGATGGACTTGCAAATAAGACTGGATACTTTGGGGAAATAGAACTATGAAAGATGCCACAGCACCACCTGCACCCCTCATTCTGACACCGCTCCCAAAATCCCTTCATGCCCTCACATCATGAGCTCATCCCTGATGGGGAGGACAAATCCCCCACCCCAGTCACAGGGGCACTGTGCTGGCATCAGAGCACCAGGAGCAGCTGGGGGAGCTGGGAGGGCTCAGCCTGGAGAAAAGGAAGCTCAGGAAGAACCTTCTCACTCCTAAACTCCCAGACAGGAGGGTGCAGCCAGGTGGGGTCGGGCTCTGCTCCCACAAATGGGGGACAGGACAATAGGAAACAGCCTCAAGTTGCACCAGAGGAGGTTTATATTGGATAGTTGGGAATTTTTTTTCACAGAAAGGCTTGTCAGACGTTGGAATGGGATACCCAGGGAGGTGCTGGAGTCGCTATCCCTGGAAGTGTTCAAAGGAAGTGTGGACAAGGCACTTGAAGACAGGGTTTAACTACAGCATTCCTGCATCAGGGTACAGAGGGTTTAATCGCTGCCTGGGCAGATTGGCACTTGAGATGTTTCTGCATCTCCTTTATAGCCCTGTTGATGTGCTCATCAAAAGGAATCTGCTCTTTCATCCTTGGAATTCACAGAATTTTCTCTGGATAAAGGCTGCAGCACCGTCCTATGGGTTAGGAGGCTGACAGCTACTTAGAGCAAGGAAATGCAGCCGTAGGAAATTAATAAAGGAAGGAATTGTGTTCCCCCATAAATCCAGTTCACAGTAAAATCAAAAAGGTGTAAATAAAAACACTAATTGGGAAATAAAGACCTAAGGAGGAGGGGCTGCACTCTGTGATTATGAAACCTATTGTAAGAGGGAGCCATGGCAGACTTTCCTTATTTCAGGGACCTTCAGCTGTCCTGAAGATGAACAGTTAATGTGAGTGTTCCCCAGCAATGCAAATTCAAATGTTAACTTGTGAGTGTGCATCTAAAATTTATATTTAGTCCCTTTTGTAAATAGAAACCTCAAATTTCTAAACACTCAACTGAAATCTGAGCTCACAACTCTTGTGGTAAAGTTGAATATAAAAGACACCTCAACCAAAGCTTGTACCCACTTTCTGCACCCAAAAAAATCCCCTCAGCAGAAGCCACCAAGAGAACCTTGAGGTAAAACTGCGACAGCAGACAGAGGTTTATTATTAAATACCCTTGATCTGCTCCAGTTTGGAGCTGGATGGCTACGTGAGGAGTTTTGTGGATAGAACAGTTTGAAAAAGTTGTTTCCTCTATGCTGTTTTTTAAAATTCAATCATTTTTCCATAGCTGAGGTTGGATATAGCCAGGACTGGCATTGGGAACGGCGGCGTTCACCGCTGCACGCCAGAGACTTGGCCTGGGGAGTTGGGTTTGCTTGAGAATCTCCAGATCTGCTCCCAAGGTTATTAAAAATTACAAAGCAAACAGAAGATGCTGATTTCCTACCAGACAAAACAAGCTATTTCAGAGGGAATTAGTCATCCCAGCTCTGCTCTAATTCCACCGCTCCTTATTTTCCCTCCTGGCCGAGATGTCGGCGTGGAGCTGCTCCTCTCTGTGCTGCTGCCCAGTGCAGCTGCCCAGCTGGGAATGCACATCCTGGGGTGTTTCCACATCCTGGGATGTTTCCACACCCCGGGGCTCGGTGTGGATGCCGTGGGATGCCCGGCTCACCTGCAGGTGTAGCGCTCCTTGCCCTTGCGCAGGATGGGGTCGGAGAGCGTGGGCGGCGGCGATCGGAAGTTGAAGGGGTGGTGGGGAAGGGGCTGCAGGGACGAGCCAGAGTCGGCCTTCATGGCTGCAAAGCTCTCCAGTTTCTCCGTCATCGTCTCGATGGCCGACATCTGCAAGGACAAGGACAAAGCTCCTGTCAGAGGAATCCCCAGGAAGGGCAAGGTCTGATGCACAAAACACCGGTTTTGGTTGGGCAAAGCCTCCTGCTGGTGCTGGCTCACTTGGAAGTTGGAGGCACAGTGGGAAATGGAGCCACTGAATCCAGCCAGGAAAGACTGGAGTAGTGTATTGGTCATGGAGAAAGCAGGAAAGGCACAACTGGCAAAGCCAGGCATTTAGGTCCCAGAAATGAGCACTTGTTCATTTTCTGCAGTGTGCATGTGCTTACTTCAGCACTTCAGATCAAAAATTATCTCAAAATACACCTGAGACATCCATTTTTACCAGGAAAAGTCTGAAACTAAGCACCATGGTCAGATACCTGTGGTAGAACTCAGTACCCAAGCCCAAACCAAATTCTTGGGAATTCTGATTTCTCCTACAACATCCTAGGGGCTCAGAAGGACAGGACAGTGAGCAGGCAGGGACACAAGCCCAGGAGAGGGGGAACAGGGAAGTTTTGGGCCCAAAGCAGTTGAATTCTGGCCAGAGTGAAGTGGGAGGGATATGTGATGGCTGTGCAGGGAGCTGAGAGAGGAGAGGAGAGGAGAGGTGGAAGGGGTGAAGAGGGAGCAGCTGGGAAGAGGAGGAGTTAGGATCAGGCTCAGGATGGAGTGGATCCACAGGGAGCTTGCCTGATGAAGAGGCCAACACTTTAATTATGGGTAGGAAAGGTTCAGCAGCTCCTAAAGGTGATGGAAGGATGGGTGGGAGGTGGCTGAGTTTCCTGGAGTGAAAGGGAGCTCCAGCTAAACCCCTGGATGTGAGCGGTGGCTGGGTGAGTTGTGGTCAGGAGAGGCAACACCTACACATCCCTTTGGGGTGGGAGCAGCTGGCATGCAGGCCTGGAGCTCGGACACCAAGCAGAATGTCCCTGGATGCTTGATCAGATTTAGTTTGTATGACTTGGCCTTGTTCTCACAGACACAAGATTAAACACCACACCAGAAAGAGGGAGAAAGAGAAAACCCTGGGGATACAGGAGAAGGAGAAAGCAGAAAAGGAAAGAATGAAGCTGGACCATGTGCAAAAAAGGAAAAAATGAATCTGCATAAAAATCCTGCTTAAAGAACAGCACTTTTACTTTCATTACAGCGCAACAGGAAATCCAATCCAGGAGAGCAACGCGGCTCAGAGGACGATGCCGACTCCTCCGACATCCAGCTTCGTGCACTCCTGAGAGCACTCTGGAGATACCAGGGCAGAAGAGAGGGCTAAAACAAACAAGGCAGCAATAAAGCTGCCTCCTGGCTGCGCTGACATCAGCGGGACAGGCGGGAGCTGCGGAGGCAGCCGGGGCGGCAGCGAGCAGCGGAAGGCAGTAGGAAGCCATACATCACCCCGAGATGCTCGATTGTGCAGGAAGGGCTGACCTTTTGCACGTTTACACTTTATTAAACTGGGCTTTAAAAGGATGAGGGGGGGGCAGAGGGGGAAGAGAGCCAAGATATTGTTTAAAAATATATGGCTATGAAAAAAAAAGTTGTCTTAATCACCCCTGAAGACATTGTGAGGGCTGACAAGCATTCATAAGCTTTAAAAAAAGAGGAGTAGTAACCCCCATTTCTGGATAATAGATCCACAGCCCCTTAGCTGGAGGCTCCCAGCCCATGATAAATAGTAAGTAATACTTAGCACCAGCCACTTGAAAAGGTTACTTGATCATTTACAGCACCAGCTCTGCCCCAGCTGCCAGTCATGCAACAAAACCATCGCGTTAAAAAGCTCTCCGGACCTTTCAGAGCCGAGCTCTCAGCCCTTCGCCGAGGTACCTGGAGCTCTCCTTTGTTGTGCCCTGTTCTTTAGGCACTTAGTCAGAGATATTTGCTGGCTTGAGAGCCGTAGGCTGGTTTTAAAATTCTAAACACTGGCCACGGCCTCTCCAGTGGCAAAGGCACTTTGCTATTTAGGGAGCAACTGCCTGGTTATAATAAAACAGAAAGCGGGAAGAAAAGAAACTTAACAGGTGAGGAAAGGCTTTCCATTAAGTTATCAAAAAGTTACACTGGTTATTTATGTTGTCCAGAGTTTCATTTGGAATAGACAATGTAGGAAAACTCCCAGGGAGCAAAGGAACTTCTGCCAACGACTGGCTAAGAAATAAGAGCTGCCTGAAATTCATTTTGAGAGAGGAAACATCTCCTGAACGCTTTTATCACATCTTCTGGCTTCATCACATCCCAGTGAGGGCACTCTGAGAGAGCTGGGGATTAGTCACAGAGGAAAAGGCTGAGACCAGACTCGTGTTTGGAGTGAGGAAAGCCTGGGTAGAACGTGACTCTGACTGACCAGGCACAGGAACGTTGGTCCTAATGAAGAAAGCAGAAGCAGGAACCCTGAAAATGTGATTTCTAAGGAAAAGAGTCAGGATCCAGAATTCTTAGCAATGCTGGATCCAGGGAATTGTCACGGCCTCAAGGCTGCCAGAGCTCTCAGACACAGGGTGGGATTGTTGGGGGGTCCTGTGCAGAGCACAGGTTGGACTGGATGATCCTTCCAGCTCAGGATATTCCATGGTTCTGTGATAATACTGGAGATTCTATGATAATACTGGAGATTCCATGATAATACTGGAAGGGGATCTGGTGGCACAAATCAATATTCTGGAAGAAATGCTGTTCCTTTGCTGTGTCTGAAATAGCTGATTGACTGCAGCATGGGAACGGCGCCTCTCCAGATCCAGTGATCTGAACACAGCGCCCGCCTTATTAAAAATCATTATTAAAAATCAGTTATCAGGAAGCTTTGGGCTGGAGTGATTGTGGATTTGAGGCTATTCTCTGTGATAAGCTTCTAGAGATAACCAGGCCTTCCAGATCTTTTCACTGCCATGGGAAGAGGACGTGGTCAGGATTTCAGGAACAATGTTAACAACCTTCCACCCAGAGCTTGCTCCTGCTTGGGGTCTGAATGTTTCTCATCGTCTCCTTGGGTTGCTTTGCCACGCTGGCTCCTCCCTGCTATCAGATTCTTTACAGGCAGATATCCCCACTATTCTAAGCCACACAAACACAGGATGTTCCTGGCCAGCCTGTCACCATTATCCAGCCTGGATGAAGGAAAAATCAGGGGAAGTTATTAACCAAACTCTGAGGCTGGTGTGAAACAATGCAGGAACTAAGTTTAGCTGTGAAAGCAACCAGGACCCAGATTTCACAAACCTGCGAGTTATTTATCTAAGGTGGGAAACATTATCAGGGGAGAACAATGCTTGTGAATATAAAGGAGAGCACAATGAGGAGCACGGAGCTGGGATCCCAGCCTGGGCACAGCAGGAGGGACTGGGATAGCTGGGGACTGTCACACGCACAGCTGAGCCCACTGCCCGGCACTTCCACACACTCCCCATGATGTGGGAAATTCAGGAAGGTGGAAAATGTTTCTACCTTGGGGCTGGGCGGTCCTTCTCCACCTTGTACCACTGCAAACCACACCCCCAGGTGTTCCCAAAGGAAAAACCACGCAGGCGTTGTGGGCTGTGGAAGGGGATTTTGGAAGAGCCTGTGAGCTGCCCAGACCTCATCCCTGTTTTTCTGGTAATGCAAAGGAAGCAGCAAGGCACAGCTGCCACCATCCTCAAACTGGGAATTAAATGTGCCTGGAAGGAACTAGTGGAAAACAGTGGAGATTCCAGTCAGGCCCTTGGATGAGGAGGAGCCTGATCCCAGTGATCCCAGCTTGTAGCAGCTCCACCCCAGCATTCCATCAGCACTGCTTTTACCTGGGGGTGGAAAAGCAGCGGGGAGGGTCGCAGGTACTTCTCCTTGAGGGCACCCACGGGGTCTGTCACCTTCCGCTTCTCCACCCTGCTGGACAACAACACAGAGGGTTACATACCTCACAGGCAGCCCCACACAGCCCCACTGTGCTGAAATTGCACACAGGGTTATTCTCTCACTCACACAAATGTCTTACACCCCCTTCTCCTGGACACTGCAGATTCTGATGCACAATTGCCCCACAATTGTGTGCAGGGTGCAGGAAGCACTGGAAATAACATGAACACCAATCCCCTCCTTTGGGCAGTATTTTTTTCAGCCTTCAGGCTTATGGCTAAGAAAACATTTTGCTCCTGCTCTGCTGCAGTGGTTTATAAACCTCTGCTGTTGTCAAAGGTCATGGAAAACCTTGCATTTAGAGTAAAACTGTCTGAGCAGGAGAAGGTCTAGGGTCCACAGCAGGCAGCCCCCGCATGGAAAAAAAAATTGTCTTTGAGAGTTTGCATTTATCTGAAGAGTTAACACTGGGCCAGACTCTGCAGCCCCAAGCGTGCTGAAATCATTAGGTGTTTCATATTTGTTTCCTCCCTCGCAGCTGAGACATAATTTGCATTGAGTTTCTTTGGCAAGCCCGTGTGGACAACGATTTAAAAAGTGAGGGACTGGTGGGAGAATTCTGAAGTGGCTCAGAAACCTGAGTTCTTCTGATATCACCTTGGCCCACTCAAATATTTCATGTTTAAGCACCTGAGATGCAGAAATGACCCTAAAGTGAGGCTATTTTTGAAAATGTTGGCTTTGATTCCACAAAATATTCTACTTGCAGGGAAACGGAGGTGTGGAATCACCAAAAAGACAAACTGAGATGTTCTCTAAGGGAAAAAAAAGTGTTGAGGAAGTAACTCCAACAAACACAGCTGCATCTTTAAATGGTTGGAATTGAGTCCATCCAGCTAAACCAGCAGAAATCCAAGAGTAAGAGTGATTTTAACTGCATTAGTCTAGCATAAATTGAGAGCAAATTATTTTTGCTGCATTTCAGCTGATTGGTGCGTGGATCAAATTACCAAAGAGTTTAAAGAAGAGCCCTGCCGAGTGCAGCCAGCAAACTGTGCTTAATCTGCATTTAATTCTTCTTGGGTAGGGGGAAAGAGAAGAGCTGGATTGGAAACACAGCCAGAATTAGGGTGCTTTGGAAGGTACGTGCTTTTATGGGTCTGAGTTGTCAGAAAAACCAAAGAATAAGTAAAAATTTGCTCCCTGAGCCCCCCTGACCAGCCCAGCTTTGCTCTCCGTGAGGCACTGAAACGCCCAAGGGAACATCCCTGATCCCAGCAAAGCCTTCTGGGGAGAGCCCTGCCTGCTCCGTGTGCACAAAATCTGGTGAATTGACAGCCTTTCCCCAGCTCTGCCATGTCCCAGCACCAGGAATGGAAACACAAGGTCCAAACGTCCCCGTCAGAGCTGAATTCCGCAGCGCCTGGAGGATTAAGCCGATCGTTTCAGCCCAGTGCCTGAGAACGTCACCCCCACGGGCTGAGCTAAAAACTGCCCCCATTTCAGACTGTCTGGCCGCATTAAATTATATCACCAGGAGAAAATGTCAAGGATTTAAGTGGCCTTTGGGAGAAAAAAATGAAGGAGCCAAATGATGTGAGAGAGTCTGATAAAGGGAAGTTTAGAAACAAAATATTTCCATATTTTTCAAGCTGGGACTTGGAAGCTGGGCTGTTTCGCTCATTACATCAGAAGTCTGATTCGCAAGCAACGCCACCGCTGACTTTCTATTTTAACACATGACTAAAACTATGTGCATCCCATGGAATGCAGCAAACGATGCCCCCATCCTTCACTTCCATCTGTCTTCTGGGCATTTACGGTTTTCCCGAGGCCTCTGTTTTAATTGGCAATGGCTTCTCCAAGCCGTGTTATTTCAGCATTCCTGCTGAGAATGCCCAGAGGTGGCAGGACCCTACAAGGATTCTTTTGCCTTTCCATCCCATGTATTGATTTTTTTTCCCCCAGGAGTACTTTTTATGAACACTTTTTATGAACCATCTCCAGGAGAAGATGGCCACAGTGGGTGCCATGGAGGACATGGCACCTCCTGAGCTGGGAGGTGTCCCCATCCCTGATGGCATGGTGTGGGCACGTCACCCCCGTGAGCTGGCAGAGCCAGAGACACTCATTTAGCCAGCAGTGAGGGCTCACTAATCCTCATCCCAGCCGACAGCTCCTTGGCCTGGCCAGACACTGACATCACTTTTTCCCAGAGTTATCAGCCCTGTGACAGCGGCCGGCGGTGACATCTGGGCTGTCGTGGTGCTCTGAGCACCCATCCCACCGTCACACCACGGTGGCTCTGAGGCTTTCCAGTGCCAGGGACAAGGCAGATCCTGCAGGGGAACAGCCAGTAACCTCCCAGCAGGCTGAGCACAGAAAGGATCACCACGCATTCGGCACAAGGAATGCAAGGACAAAGCATTCACCTCCATGGGCTGAATCCAGGAACACTCCAGGATAAGCACAACTATCCAGAAGGATGCTGTGGAGCATTTAGACATGGTAGTGGCTAATTTAGATGTGTTAATGTCTAAATCAAACTAGTTCAGGACATGCCTTTTCACTGGGCTTTGCTAAAATTAAATGTGCCATGTCCACCTTATCCAAAGGCAATGCCTGGATGCGTAACACACAAATTCATTGTTACCCTATAATAAACCTACTATAACAGGTTTCCTTTGGGAACAGGTTTTATAAAAAGCTCTCAAGCAACAAGAGGCCAAAGTCTTCCCTTTTTGCTTCCTCCTGCATTGATTCCTTCTGGAAGTTTAGCTGACATTTGGATAACTTCACCCAGCCTGCTCTACACACGCCTTCCATGTTCAGCTCATTCTGACGTAACGCATCAGGCCCTCCTCAGAACCATCTGTTCAAGTGACACCAGAAAGGCCTTGTTATCTCCCAAGAAAGATAAATCTGTGAGAAATGTATCTGGGAGAGATCTGGGTAGTAACACGCTACCATGTGTTTACACAGTACTTGTTACTCCAAGAGTAACATGTTTCGGCAGGTTGGGTCTGCACCAGCAGCTCCTCCGAACAGAAAAAACCCAAGAAATGGCATTAGAAGGGAAAAGGGAGGGAGGGAGAAAGAAAGGTGAAGTGGCTCACAAAAGGCCCTCGAGTCAGTCAGTGGGAGAGCTGCATTTCCAGGCTCCCAGGGCTCCTGACTCATTCCCAAGCCATGAGAGCCCAGGGCTCCAAGGCAATCTGAACTCTGCATTCTTATCGAATCAAACCTCTGGAATTTCTCCAGCAGAAGTGCCATCTTAGCGATGGCTCGTGGGAGAGTCCTTAAATAGGTCAAGTTTCTTCTTTATCAAAATAAGGATGTGCTCTTTACACACTGATTATGAGGGCTCCTTGCAATTACTCAGGCCTTTCCATTCAGGAAATTCAATGTGTCGAGAAGCACAAACAACGACAGGAGATGTTCAGCTGTTCTTCCCAACCAACCTGCATCCTCCCCTGCCTCAGGGTGTGGTGTCAGCTGGAAAAGGAGCTGGTTAGGGAAAGGCTTAAGGCAGGGTATGTTAATACCTGTAGATGGGGTCCATGAAAAAGGGCGATGGCTTAGCGTAGTGCAGGGAAGGCTGCTGAGGCAGCTGGGACTGGGAAATCTTAGGTAAGACCTCACTTGCCATCAGCTTCCTCTCCCCATAAATGTGGTTTTTCCGTGGCTCTCTCCCTCCGTTCTGGCTGGCTCGGATGCGGTTGCCAATGCTCAGATCCAGTGGCTGCTCCTCCCCTGAGGACGGGGCTGGGAGGACCTTGGGAGGCGGCAGGATTGGCTTAATCTCTTTTGGCTTCGTGGTGAGATCGAAGGGGGACTCCGAGCTGGTGCCACCGACTTTGTGGAGGTCCCTGGGTGACTTTGGTTCTGCCTTGACCAGCAAGTTGTGATTGAGGGTCCGCTCCGTGAAAGGGTAGAGGGAGTGGGGGAAATTGGGGAGGAACTGGAAAGGGAACATGGAATGATACGGGAGTGAACCCATCTTTTTCTCCTGCATCCCCATAAAGCCAGGCCCAAAATACTTCTCTGCAATAGAGGCGATAGCTTTAATAGAGTCATTGGCAGCGCCCGTGGTGGGCAGCAGGTGCTCCTCGGGGGGAGGAAAGAAGGAATGCTGAGAATAGAAGAGAGGGATCTCGCTCGTGGTGTTGGTGGAACTGGCAGACACCGAGCTGCTGACAAAATCTGGCTTGGTCTCCATTTGTTTGCTCTTGTCTTTCGTTTTGTCCCTGTCACTCTCCGCGTCACTGTCCAGGTCAGAGCCGGTGCCAGTCGTGGTGTCCAGGTCCGTGCCCGTGGTCGTATTGACATCCTCAAAGTCACTGCCATCGGACATGTCACTGTTCCTGGCTTTTAGCTTCTCCAGGTAGGAGTTCTCCAGGCTGCTTTCACATTTCTCCTCCCCTGAAGGAGCCTGGTTGCTGTTGCTCACCGCGGAGATCAGGGGCAACGCCGGGTTCCCGAGGGGGCTGGGGAGCTTCGCGTCCGGAGTGTGGTTGAGGGGACTTTTGAGCAGTTGCGTGGGCGGTAACAAGGGAGGCCTGGGGTACAGAGAAGGTGGAAAAATCCCCGGGAATCCCGGGGTGAGGGCGGGGAAGGCTGGGGGGGCTGGCGAGAACGGGAGCCCGCCGGGGTGCGGGCGGGACGGGAAATACTCGTTAAAGCCCAGGCTGGCGTGGTTGAGGTTGGGAGAGGGTTTGGATTTGTCCATCATGGAGGTGGGCGTGAGGGGGAGGCCGGGGGCGAAGATGCCGGCGGGGCTGTAATGGTTCTTGCCCTCGCAGAAGCGCCGGTGCTTGTTGAGGGAGGAGGTAGTGCTGAACATCTGCCCGCAGTCCTTGCACTTGATCTGGGTGCGGCAGTCCGCGTGCATCCGCTTGTGGCGGCACAGGTTGGAGAACTGCGTGTAGGATTTGTGACAGACCTCACCTAAAGCGTCAACAGGAACCAACAACAAAAGCCATATGAAATTAACAGGAAAATAGCAATGATTACGCCTGGGATTCACCAGCCCCCACACCGCCCCGTCCCTGGGATCTCCCTGCCCTGAAGAGCAGTGGAACATCACCGTCTTTCCCTTTGGATGGAGCCCATCCTGGAGGATCTCTCAATCCACAGAAATCTGAGGGGATGTGCTAGTTCTGCTCAAAGTTTGGGGGAATTTTCAGGAAAGATTATAATGGAATCACAGAATGGTTTGGTTGGGAGGGGCATAAAGCCCATCTCATCCCACCCCCGTCCATGGGCAGGGACACCTTCCACTGTCCCAGGCTGCTCCAAGCCCTGTCCAGCCTGACCTTGGACACTTCCAGGGACCCAGGGGCAGCCACAGCTTCTCTGGGCACCCTGTGTCAGAGCCTCAGCACCCTCACAGGGAAGAATTCTATATATCCAACTTAAATTCAAATTTCAGTTTGAGTGCATTCCCCCTGTCACTCCAAAGTCCCTCTCCAGTTTCCCTGTTGCCCCTGCAGGTCCTGGAAGGTGCTGTGAGATCTCCACACAACCTTCTCCAGGCCGAAGAAATCTCTCAGCCCAGATCCAGAGGGAAGATGCTCCACTCCCCTCAGAACATCTTTGCCCTAATCATACATTTTTAATGATAACATCTATTTATCCCAGCTCATCTGCTTCCCATTAGTCCCAGCATGGCAGGAAGCACTGAGGGCTGGAGGGAGAAGAACTTTGCCTCATTTAATCAAACCTGCCCTTCCTTAATGCCCTCAGTAGTACATAACCCCTGCAGGGGGATGCTCTATAAATCTATAAATCCCTGCCAGCCAGGCCTGGCTTCTGCCAGGACTGGGATCTCTTTTTTTAATCCTTTAAATCAGTCCAACACCCCTGCCCCGCTAACTGAAGCCACCTCAGCGTTTTCTCTAACAACCTGTAAATACCAAGCTTTCAAAACATGGATTTTTATGACCCCTTTTCACCTCCAGACTTGCTGCTGTGGAAGAAACAGGGCAAAGCGAGACAGAAATCCCACCCCAAACTTTTCTACACATCAAAACACTGTGACTTTTTATTATCTGGTGCCTCTTTCAACACGGGAATAAACATGGTGGTGAGTTAGCACACTCCTTCCCCCGGGGAACTGCTGTTATCACCCTTTTGTGAGCAGGGAAACTGAGACAAAGCAGGGGAAGGACATTGTTTGGGCTTGGACAGGCAAGGACATGAATCCAAGTTCTGACACTCCAGCTCAGGGACTGCTCGGTGCTCCTTCCCTCCTCCCAGCTTTACTGATAGGTGCATGTGAGCACGATTTTCCCTGTATTTTCTCCTAAATATTTCCTAAATCTTTAGGATTTACTTCAGTGCTTGAATATCAAATAACTGGCGGGAGAGTATTTCATTAATAGCTCTGAAAATATAATAATATAATAAATTCCAATTGAAATTCAAAGCAGAGGTAGATAAAATTCAATGAATTTGACATTTCAGTTCAGATGAGCACCCCAAAATCCAAAGGAGTGTCACTGAAGGCTCTGGTTTCTGACTGCACTGTAAATTCAAGCTGCACTGTGTGTCCCCAGAGTATTTAATTGTTTGGCCCTGACACAGCCCAGAGCTGCAGGGAAACACAAACAGGACAAGAAAGTCATCACAAGACTTTGGATGTTTGAGCCAATCCTAATTTTTGGATTATTTGGATTATTATTGAGCCAATCCTAATAACTTTAAAATCTTGGATCAGGTCTCCTGAACTGCTCTAAGTGCATACAGAGTTTTATGGCTGTTGTAAGTATTATTTCAGCTACCTTAGACTTGCAAAGAAAGGGTTTATTTGGCTTTTTTATTCCACTTTAAAGTGTTTTCTTAAAAACTATCCAAACAGAGCTCTTAAAAGAAGCACTACTGAATTTCTTTTCCATGAAAATTCAGCACTACTGAATTTTATTTCCAGGATAATCTCTTAAATACAACAATCTCTGGGTTTTTTTTTATTTTCCAGGGGAATCAGTGATCACCATCCCTGGAATTGGTTGAAAAACCTGTGGATGTGGCGCTTAGGAATGTGGTTTAGTGATGAACACAGCAGTGCTGGGTTAAGGGCTGGACTTAATGATTTCAGAGGGCTTTTCCAACTGTAACCATTCTATGATTCCAGGATTCTTCCATTTTTTCACCCCAGGAATTTTTGCTAGACATATAAATACTGCAAAAAATTCCCTAAAGGGAAGTGCTAGAGCTCTGAGAGCTCATATCAGCCTTCTAGAATAAGGAAAACTGGAAATTTTCTGTTAAATCTCCAGTTATCCAGTGATTTAGTGATTCCATGTGGAACGGCCTCTCTTGCCCTCCTGATTTCTGCAGTTATAAAGTTACAGGTTTGGGGGCTTTTGAAAGCCAAATATAATATTGTAAAAAATGAAACACAAACACACATAGACCCCTTTTCTTCCACTGAACAGGGGAAAAAAAAAAGAACCAACTTCCTGGTGAATCCTGCCATGTGGATTTGAAGCTGTTAATGGATTCCACATTGATGGACAAAACAACCTGACACATCTGACCAGGCAGGATCCCTCTGCAGTTGCTCCACACGCTGATTTGGTCTGACAACTCCCTAATTCTGATGAGGTGAGAGTGAGGAGATTATGAGGAGAAATCCCTCATCTCCCTGCAGCAATCCTGGGAGTCAAATTATCCCTTTCATGTGCCCAATGAAAGATTGCAGCAAAATGAGCGAGAGGAGCGTTTCTTCTTCCTCTGCTGACACCCAGCTGATTATCTCAGGACACTGATTACCTCAGGACATTAATGAAATGAGTCTCCCAGGATATTTCTCCATGCTGTTCCCATTATTCCAACAGGGGGAAAAAAGGCAGGAGTGGGTTCAGTGGCTTCCCTACCGTAACATCAAAGCCTGGAATCAAACCCAGATCCCGGCCCGTGCCTGAGCAACGTGTTCTGAAGTGTCAGGAAGTGATCCCTAAAGTTCCTGGAGCTTTGTTGTGACACCATCCACCTCGCTGCACAGTTATCCAAACCCAGTGGGTGCTGTGTCAATTAAAAAAATATACAGCCCTGGGAATGACAAGGACTGAGATGGGTGGCTCTCCAGGGAAAATGCCCTTCTGGAAATATCCCACCAAGGAGAGCACTGAGGACACAGTTCATCTGCTGTTTATTTGGCTCCCAGCATTATCTAGATGAAACATGCAGTAAATAAAGAAGAAAAAACTTTCTTTCTAAAAAACACCTTCTCATCTCTGTGATTATTCCAAGTTCTTTACAACGGCTCCAGGGTTTGAGGCACCCCTGTAAAACATTTCGATCAGGCTGTGCCAGCTATTTATTTATGTCACCAACAGGAACATTCGAAAGCGATTAAGGCAAAAAAAAGACGAGAGAAAGAAAAGATATGAGAAAATGGCATCGCTGTGACCGCTGAGAGACTCAGCTTTTAACTTGTCAAGAAAGTCAAAAACCGCCACGAATGTTTACTGAAAAAACAGGGAGCATGCAAAAAAAAAAAAAAAAGGAAAAAAAAAATTCATCTTGTGCTCTGAGCTATAAAATTACAGCGGCCAGGGATGGGAAGGCTGGGGGGCCCCGGCAGGATCCCTGCAATTACAGGCTGGTGATGGCCGTGACAACTTACATATGAAAGGTTTGACAGTGCTGTGGATGTGCTTGTGCTGCTTGAGGCCCGAGGAGGTGGCGAAGGTCTTGCCGCAGTCGGGGCAGGCGTGGGCCCGCGCCCCCACGTGCTGCGAGCGGATGTGCCGCTGGAGGTTGCTGGGGTCCGTAAACACCTGCGGGGAAAACGCCTTCAGGAGAGGGGGGAAAGCACCAGGAGAGCAGCCTGCATGTGAGAAACTGATTTTGTTAGGGGTTTTTGCAGCGCTGCTGCTCATGGCTTGAGGAGCGCGGGGCGGAGAGGTGAGGAGAGGTCATGAAAGAGCTCTGTGCCCTGTCAGGCTGTGGCACCTCGCTGAGTGTGTGGTGCTCATGGCTGGACAAGTCTGTGTCGCCTCCCTGAGTGTGTGGGGTCATGGTTGGACAGGTCTGTGTCCCCTCCCTGAGTGTGTGGGGTCATGGTTGGACAGGTCTGTGTCCCCTCCCTGAGTGTGTGGGGTCATGGTTGGACAGGTCTGTGTCCCCTCCCTGAGTGTGTGGGGTCATGGTTGGACAGGTCTGTGTCACCTCTCTGAGTGTTCATGGTTGGACAGGTCTGTGGCACCTCCTCGAGTGTGTGGTGCTCAGGGTTGGATGGGTCTGTGGCACCTTCCCTGAGTGTGTGGGGTCATGGTTGGAGAGGTCAGTGGCACCTACTCAAGTGCTCATGGTTGGACAGGTCTGTGGCACCTTCCTGAGTGTGTGGTGCTCATGGTTTGATGGATCTGTGGGACCTCCTCGAGTGTGTGGTGCTCACGGTTGGACAGGTCTGTGGCATCTCCCTGAGTGTGTGGTCATGGTTGGACGGGTCTGTGGCACCTCCTCAAGTGTTCATGGTTGGACAGGTCTGTGGCACCTCCCTGAGTGTGTGTTGCTCATGGTTTTACAGGTCTTTGCTCACCCTCATCTTCCCAGCACAGCCCTCACCACCATCCCAGTACCCAGCTGGAAATGGCCAAAGGGGAGTGGGTTGTAAGAGGGTTGAGCTCCACACCCCCAGTGAGATGCCCAGGACAGTGAGGACACCTCCCTGGGACAGGGACAGTGGGGTCACCTCTCCCTTCATCCCCTGCTCTGGGCCAGCATGGGCCACCCATCCCCTGCAGCCCTTGCCCAGGTCCCAGTGTCCTCTCCCAGGTGAAGTGTCCCATGGAAGCTGTCGTGCATCCCTTTCCCCAGGTCACAGCACCCACTCCCAGGTGAATCCCCAAATGGACACCATGTCCTGCACCCTTTTCCCCAAATCCCAGAGCCCTCCCCCAGGTGAATCCCCAAATGGATACTGTGACCTTCATCCCCAGGTCCCAGCACTCACTCCCAGGTGAATCCCCCCATGGACACTGTGTCCTGCACCCCCAAATCCCACCACCCTCCCCCAGGTGAATCCCCCAGGCTGACCGTGTCCTCACTGTACCTTAACACAGTTTTCACATTCAAACCGTTTCCCACTGTCGTGAGACATTTGGTGACGAATCAGGTTGGATTTCCAGTTGAAAGCCTTGGGACACTGGTCACACTTGTACTCCCTCTCCTCGGTGTGGATCACCATGTGCTGCTCCAGGCTGGCAAAGAGACACAGGCTGACCTTCAGACCACCCAAAGCAGGCACTGGGGCAGGTCAGAGACCCAGAGAGGTGACAGGGAATCAGCTGTGGGGCCTGGGGGTTTTCCAGTTTCTGGGTGCCTCAGAGAAGGAAGGGACTAGCTCATAAAATTCACAGAGTCACAGAATTCACAGATTCACAGAATCCCCAGGTTGAGAGAGATCTTCAAGACCATTGAATCCAACCCAGCCTCAACACTTCAGCTAAACCCTGGCACCCAGTGCCACATCCAGGCTTTGTTAAACACACCCAGGGATGGTGACTGCAGCACCTCCCTGGGCAGCCATTCCAGAACTTTATCACCCTTTCTGCAAAAAACTTTTCCCTAATATCCAACCTGTATTTCCCCTGATGGAACTTAAGGCTGTGTCCTCTGGTTCTGTCAGTTCCTGGAGACAGAGCCCAGCCCCAGCTGAGCACAGGCACCTTCCAGGAGCTGTAGAGTGTGATGAGGGCACCCCTGAGTCTCCTTTTCTCCAGGGTAAACACCCCCAGCTCCCTCAGTCATTCCTCACAAGTCTTGTGTTCCAAACATCTTTACTGAGAGAAGGACAGTGACACCAAACACCATTTGAGGTTTTTTGAGATTTATTTCACTGGTGGAAGATGCCCTGTTCTGCCACAAAATGACGCTGTGTTTTATGCTACTTATAAATACCTGAGTCCATTCTCAGGGGGGAAAAGGAAAGTAAACCCAGCCGTGACCCTAGAGATCCCTGAGGGGAAAAATAGGCACTTTTTGTAGCATCCCCTGGGGAAAGAAAAGATATTTGCTGCTGCTGAGCCTCTCATGTGTCCATTTTCACGGGCAGCCGGCCCACGGCTTCCCAGAACACAGGGACTCACCGTTGGGAAGAAACATGATAAGGTGCAAACACGTTTCACTTCTAAATGTCAGACATCTTTGATTACTTCACTCAGCAATTTCACCTCCTGCCAACTGGCAGCGTCTCCGGACTGGGGGATGATGGCAATCCCGAGTGGCTGCTGGCACAGGGCCACGGCAGGGGTGGCACCTGGTGCTCCAGTGCCCTGTGCCATGGGAAACCTGCAGCTCCCTGCCTGCCCAGGAACCCTGCACCTCTCAGACATTAAATCCTGCACCTCTCAGGCCTTAAATATTGTATCTCTGAGGCCAGAAATCCTGCCCCTCTCAGGCCAGGAATCCTGCCCCTCTCATGTTGGGAATCCTGCACATCTCAGACCTTAAGTCCTGCACCTCTCATGCTGGGAATCCTGCACATCTCAGTCAGAAAACCTGCATAATTCAGGCCTTAAAACCTGCACCTCTCAGACAATAAATCCTGCACCTCTCAGGCCTTAAATATTGTATCTCTGAGGCCAGAAATCTTGCACATCCCAGGCCAGGAGTCCTGCACATCCCAGGCCAGGAATCCTGCACATCCCAGGCCAGGAATCCTGCACCTCTCATGTTGGGAATCCTGCACATCTCAGACCTTAAATCCTGCACCTCTCATGTTGGGAATCCTGCACATCTCAGACCTTAAATCTTGCACCTCCCTGCCCAGGAATCCTGCACATCCCAGGCCAGGAATCCTGCACAATTCAGGCCTTAAATCCTGAACCTCTCAGATACCAAATCCTGAACCTCCCTACCCAGGAATTCTGCACATCTTATGTTCAGAATCCTGCACTTCTCAAATCTTAAATCTTGTATCTCTGAGGCCAAAAATCATCCACATACCAGGCCAGGAATACTGATCCTCCTAGACTGGGAATCCTGCACATCTGAGGCTGGGAATCCTGCTCCTCTCAGAAATTCTGCACAATTCAGGCCTTAAACCCTACACCTCTCAGACATTAAATCCTGCACCTCTCAGGCCAGGAATCCTGCACATCTCAGTCTTGGAATCCTGCATGTCTTAGGCAGAAAACCTGCATAATTCAGACCTTAAATCCTGCACCTCTCAGATATTATATCCTGCACCTCTCAGGCCATAAATCCTGCATAATTCAGGCTGGGAATCCTGCACCTCTCAGGCAGAAATCCTGCACATCTCAGACCAGGAATCCTCCACATTTCAGGCCAGCCCTGAGAAACAAGAGAAGGAAATCTGCTTCCTTTCCTTCCTTTGGGGCAGGTTAACAGAAGCTACAAACACTACTCTTGTAGTGACTTGTGACTGTGAGTTGTGAGTCTTGACTGTGAGTTCTTAAAAAAAACTAAACCCAGCTCACACGGAATCTGCTCCTGCCTGACACCCCTTCCCATGGATATTAAACCATTCCTACAGAACTTTAAAGCATGGCTGTATTTTTACAGAAACATTAAAGCTGAACACTACTGGAAAATCCTGCCAGTCTTCAGGGAAGATACTCCCTGGGCATTTCTGGCAAGTTCAGGATCCCAGGAATCATGTCAGCCTTGATCACTCACCCAGAACTCCTCCCTTGGAGCACCAGCCCTAATCCCAGCTAGATAATTCATATTCATGGGCATGCCCCTCATAAACTGCCAACCCACTGGTTTAAAAGCAGCAATATTCATTTTGCTCAAGGAATGCTGCTCTTAAAATGACCAGACTTTTAACACACACAAAGTAACACAAACCTTTCATATGCACATCCAAAAATACGCTCCTGTTAACTGTGATTTATGAGTTTATTTCGAGCAAATATGGACAAGCTAATACGCTGTTTAGAGGCAAGTACCTACTGGGATTAGCAAAACATTTATTTATTTAGTCAGCTGCTAAATGCTCAATTTCAGGTCCCCAGTGGCATCCTTGATTTCATCTGTATTAACTTTGAAAAATTCTAAGACTATCCAGGCACTCTGAGCGGGTTTATTTTGTGTTTTAGTGACTTTAAACGTGGCAGATTGATGGGGGAGAGGCTGATGTGGACATTTCCTCCCCACCAGCATGTCAAAGGCTGAATGAGGATGCTGCTGACTCTCTTTTCCCTTGTCAAAAAAAATCAACTTTATGGTACTTAACCCAAAATATTGTGTTTAAAAGGCAAAAGCCCCAAGGCCACAGTGCCAGCTCAGACCCCTAGGGAGCCAGGAATACACAGAGGGTACAAATAAGATACAACACACACATTTCTAAAGGTTATTTCCTAGTTAACATAAAAATTACAGAGCACTGGAAGCTAAAGAGGAGAGAGCTCCTGACACTTATAGATAAAAGAATTGGAATTTTTGCTAAAATCCATAATATTGAAAACATTTGAAGGAAGTTCTTGTCTTGTCAAGTAAAAAAAAAAAAAAAAAAAAAGAAGAAAATTGCAACCTCTTATTTCTGATGAAAATATGCAATGTAGAGACAAGAGGTGAGGATTAAAAATACCACACTGGGCTCAGAGGATCCCACACAGGAATCCCAGGATCCATCCCAGATTCTACAACTCCCAAGCTCTTTTCCATGCAGATACAGGGAATGCTCTGTAGCCTTCACCTTTACTCTGCATCTTTTAAAACAGATTTTTTTCCCCCTCACTGCCTCACCCAGATCAAAGAGCTGAAAATATCATTGTAATTAAGTTCAAAGTGACAAATGCAGGTTTTTAAATGTTAAACTGAAGTGAAACAGGGGCTTTAACCTCGAGGTTTTTGCTCTGCTCAGGCACAGCCTGACAGGGGATTGCCAGTTCTCACAGTTTTACAACAAATTTGTGGTGCACGGGGCTTGTTCACCCAAGAAGGCAAAAGAAATGAGTAAGTGAGAACTTCAGCCTCCGGTAAACACAGAAAACTCTGCTTTTATAGAATTTTATAAAGGCTTTTATCAAGGCTTAGGATGCAAATAAACACAATCTTAAATTGATTTTAAAAACCCTCAACTTTTAAAGCTGGCTCCTAATATTTAACTATTTGAGTCTCACTTTGCCAATGAATTAGAGAGCTCAAAGATTGCTGTATTAAAGCTGCATTTCATTGCCACCACATTCTGCTTTGAAAAAAATCAGATTTTAAGTTAAAACCAGAGTTTAAATATTTTCACTTTCAAAGAGAAGTTTAATTCTCATTTAGAGTTGCCGTATAATCATAATAATAACTGAAGAATTGTTGCAAATTTAAAAATGAGCTGGAGTTATCCAGCTTCCAATCTTCTTTTTTTTTCCTTTTCACATTGTTGTCACAAGAACATTTGGTGGACACAAAGAAAATTAAAAATTTGATTGGAATAGAGGTTTTTAATTGCTCCTGCCAGATCAAATAGGAGCTTGTGGCCATATTACAAGTTCTTAGGGCATTGACACCTCTTTAAACCCACTCATCTCTAATGACCAAGAATTAAATTTAAAAGAAGCCTTCATGCACATGTTGACTGAGCTAACATTGGTGGTTTTTTTCCTTCAGAACAAAAGAGCTGATGGTAGAAAGATCCTCTCAGAAAAGAACCCCTTAAACTTCCCACCAAAAACCCTTGGGTGCTTCTACCAACCGCAATGGAAAGCACAGGTCTGTGAAATCAAGGTGGAATAAAACACTGCCCAACAGCTACAGAGGATCCCAAAGTGAACATTCCTAAACCTTGTAAGGAAAGGGGAGGTTGCTAGGGAGAAAGGAAAGGTTGATCCCAAAAGGAACACTCCTAAAGCCTATGGAAAAAGGAAAGGTTTCTATGGAGAAAGGAGATTTATCTCAGAAAGAATATTCTGAAATGCTATGGGGAAAGGAAACGTGTCTAGGGGGAAATATCAGGTTTATCCCAAAAGGAACATTCTGAAATTCTATGGAAAAAGGAAAGGTTTATTCCAGAAAGAACATTCTGAAATGCTATGGAGGAAGGAAAGGTTTCTGTGGAAGAAAGAAAGGTTGATCCCAAAGAGAACACCCCCAAAATCTATGGAGGAAGAAAAGGTTTCTATGGTGGAAGGAAAGGTTTCTATGGAAAGAGGAAATGTTTCTATGGAGAAAGGAAAGGTTTCTACAGAGGAAAGAGATGTTGATCCCAAAAGAACATCCCTAAAGCCTGTGGAGGAAGGAAAGGTTTCTGTGGAAGAGGGAAAGGTTTATATGGGGAGAGGAAAAGTTTCTATGGAGGAAGGAAAGATTTTTATGGAGGAAGGAAAGGTTTCTATGGAAAAAGAAAAGGTTTCTACAGAGGAAGGAAAAGTTTCAATGGAGGAAGGAAAGATTTCTATGGAAAGATGAAAGGTTTCTATGGAAAGAGGAAAGGTTTCTACAGTGGAAGGAAAGGTTTCTATGGAAGAAGGAAAGGTTTCTATGGAAAGAGGAAAGGTTTCTATGGAGGAAGGAAAGGTTTCTATGGAAGAAGGAAAGGTTTCTATGGAAAGAGGAAAGGTTTCTGTGGAAGAAGGAAAGGTTTCTATGGAAAGAGGAAAGGTTTCTATGGAGGAAGGAAAGGTTTCTATGGAGAAAGGGAAGGTTGATCCCTTCAGTCCTCCCCAGGGCCCATCACCCCCTTTGGCCAGGACGGAGAGGGGAGGCCAGAGGAGGGTCTGGCTGCCAGTGGGTACCTGTATTTATTGGGGAACATCCTCTCACAGTCCTTGCACTCGTAGATCTGTCCATCTGCGAGGCCCTCCTGCTTGATCTCGTTGCTGAGGCTCTCGTAGAGGGCCCCCACGGCCCCGCAGCCGTACTTCTTGTGGCGCCGCAGGTCCAGCTTGGACTGGAACAGCTCATCGCAGTCCTCGCAGCGGAACGAGGGCTCCTCTGCAACACACACAGCAGCCCATGGCAGCCCTGCCCCAGGAAACACAACCAGAGGGGAGGCAAGGCTCCCCGAGTCCAGCAAACAAACAAACAAAGAGAGAATTTGCAAGTGAGAGGGGAGAGAACCCAAGGGAGGCTGTGCCAGCAGCTGCTTTCACTTTAAGCATTAAGAGGAAAAAAAAAATCAGATCACACAACCAGAGGAGATCTTGTTTTCTTTGTGTCTTGGCCTCAGCTGAGATGGAGAGACCTACAGGGATTGAGAGACACACAAATTCTGGGCTCATTCCGGGGTGCTGCGCTTGTCTGCAAGGAGGGGGTTTGAAATTACGAATGAGTTTTCCTCAGAAGGGGCTGCCAGGGGAAAAGGAATAAGCCAGACTCATATAAACACAGATAGTGAGAGAAGCAAACTGCCACAGCACAAACCTGGAGAAGCTTCTTTCTAGGAAATTGTCTGTCTAATGTTCTCCTCTCAATTTTCCACTGCAGGAGCTCAGGGCTCCATCAGCCTGAGGAGTCCCAGCCCAGAGCACCATGGAAGGAAGAGCAGGGAGCCAAAGGCTTTGTTGCTGTGCTCTTTGCTTTTTTTTTTTCTTTATTTTTTAAAAAAAAGTTCTAATGCACATAATAAATTACTGTAGTCAAGGTCAAACAAATTAAAAAGAGGGCAGCTATTATTAAGTTTACAAGGCAGCATCCTGACCATGGTGCCAAGCCAAACAGTCAGCTCAGAGCTGTAAATTTTCCAGGAGAACAAGCTCTGCGAGGGAGTCGGGATAGCTCTGGGTTTCTCCACCCTGGAACAGAAGCTTTCCAGCCCCCTGTGAGTCACTGGAGCCACGTTTCCCTGTCCTCCCCTACCCTCTTCCTCCACGCTCTGCTGCTCTGCCTGGTTCTCTTTTTCTGATAACTGCACTCCCAGAAGGAACAGCCTGTGGTGATGCATTATCTCTGAGGGAGGAGTGGGAATATTCTGGGAGCTGCAGCCAAAGGAGATGCTGTGGTGGGGCTGATCCATCCCCTGCTCTGCAGAGAGGGGATGTTGGGCTGGGATGTGGCCACACTCACGTTCTTGGGGTAAAAATCTTCAACCCCTTTGCTTCAAAGTCCCCCCTTGCACTTGTTTATGCCAAATTTTACACAACTGCAAGCACTTAGGCTGAGCTTTAAGGCCTGGAATGGTGTTTTACATAAATCAGGGTTAATTTTGTTATGAGTGTGACAGGAGTGGAAGCAGGGGCAGCGTCACACCCAGAGACCTCCATGCTCCCACCTGGGCACTCAGCTCCCATCTCCCTTTCCTCTGCTTAAACCTGAGTTTAAAACTGAGCAAGGCAAGGTCCCAGAGGCTGCTGCAGCAGCGATGTGGGCAGAGGAAACCCTCTGCACCCTCTGCACCCTCTGCACACCTACACGGAAAGTATCGACACGGGCAAAATCAAACCCAGCTGAAAAAGAAAGTATCACCAAAACTCAGCCAGCAACAGCCTGGCTGAGCCAGGTGGCTGAGCCACCCTCAATATTTGATGGAATTACTGGCAAATTGAAAATATCCCCTGAGGTAATTGGAGAGAAACAGAATTAAATGTAGGTGGAACTTCAGAAGTGTCATTACTCCAAAAAAGATTGGGTTTTGTACGTTGGGTGATGTGGAGAAACATGTCTCAGTACTGATTGATTTTTTTCCTGAAAAATAGAACTTGACACAAAACTTTACTGCCTACAGAACTCTGATTTGAGGGTTTGGCAGAGGTTTTAGCATCCCAGCAGCCTGCCCAGGGCTCCCAGAGCCACCCACACCCACATGGATGATCCCACAGGGCTGCAGGAGATCAGCTGCACAACAGAGGGGGGCAAAAAGAAATAAAGTCCAGCCAGTCAACAAAAGGATTTTGACTAAAAAAGAAGACCCGAGGGAAAAAAATACCAAATTGTTCTCATTTCAGCTCATTTTGAGGGTTTATACACTCTGAGATTGCTGGCAGCAGCCTCACACTGGGGTGGTCAGGCTCTGCTCTGCTCCTCAGAGAAATTCTCTTTACAGAACAGAACAGGACCAATGTGTGTCTCATGTATGTCATGTCCCTGGGGAGGGAAACCTGGAAATCAGGACACCAATAACAGCAGTATGGAGAGACTAGTATTGAAACAATCCAAACTACTTTTTATGAGTGAAAAGAAGAAAAAAAGTGTAGCATCAAACTCCAGGGACATGGAACTTCTCTGGTGAGGTGTTTCTCCTCCTCAGAGCCAACATTTCCCCTCTTTGCTCTCTTGTAAATGCAGCAGTGGCTTAACCAGGAAGGAATTTTTGGAGGAGTGACTGAAATCCTCCAGGCTGGGAAGCTCCAGGTCCCTTCACCTCTTAACAAGCTCCTACCAAACTCCCAGTGTCCCTCAAGCTCCACCTGGCAAATCCCCAGACCTGAAAACACTTGGAATGGAGGAAACTGATTTTTTTTTTCTTTCCTTTCTTTTGACTTCAGGGAAAATGCAACAAAATTCCTTCTACAAATCCAGGTGGAATTCTTCCTGCTCCAGTTTGAGATTTACATGATTAATTGCAGCTTATTTCACCCAAACTCTCCTGTAGGAAGCAGAAATCCTCTCTGGGTTTGGAAAAGCAGCCATGGAGAATAATTTCCTCCATATCTGGCTAAAGGTGGGTAACTGCCTCCCCTGCCACTGCCCTGCCTGCTCTTACCAGTGACAATGACACTTTTTTGTCCTTTCTGTGAGCTTACAGAGCAGGGAAAGACGTGAAATATCTTAATTGCCTCATGCATATTTTAGAAAAGAGATTTAGCTTCTAATTCTCCTGGTCCTTTGCCATATCTCGCCCAAATCACACACAATCCAAGAGGACATCAAACACAGCAGCTTTTCCACAGGTGGAAAAGATGGAGGAGAGGAAAATCAGTTCCTGTGCTTCAGAGTATCTGGGTTTGGAAAAAGAAATTTGTATTGAAAGGAGGCTTAGAGAGCTGACAAAAATATGATTAAAAGCCTTGTAGCCACGTGTTCTTCCTGTTGCCACTGGTTGTAAATCCTGTTTTGATGCTCAGACAGGCTAAAGAGAGGAAAACCAGATCAGGTGGGAGAGCAGCTGTGGCTGGCCCTGGATCCCTGGAAGTGTCCAAGACCAGGCTGGAGGGGATTGGAGCAGCTTGGGATAGTGGAAGGTGTCCCTGCTGGGTCAGGGGATGGGATAAAATCATCCTTCAGCTCCCTTCCAGCTCAAATAATTCCATGATAACTGCTCCATATCCAACCCCCGTTCCTCTGGCATTCCCAGCAAATCCCAAACCTCAACAAACACCCTGCAGGGGAAGGGCCTGAGCCTGGCTTAGGACCAGACTATCCCCTGCAAAACTGAAACCTAAACCAGCTCAGGGCCGAGCTGAGCCCTGGTGCTGATTCTGTGTCTGTATCCCACACCCACTTTGTAGGCTCCAGGTTCATTCAACTGTTCCCTTTTTTCCGAAAAATAAAAAGGTGGCCCTTCAAAGCACATTCTCATTAAAGTTTCCCCCTTTTTTTAACAAAAATACTGCCCTTCACAAAGGTAACTGTGTGACAGGGAGAAGGGGCTGCAAAGAAAAGAGCAACCCCAGTCACACCGAAATTGCTGCCTGTTCTCTGTGTCGCGTTTGTCAAATCTGTGGTTACGTGTGCCTATCTGAAGTTCCATCAGAAACACTCAGGACAAAGCAGGAATGTAACAGAAAAATAAATCAGCGCCTAATAGCTTTCAGAGAAACCAAGGGGAACACAATTATGTGGCATCTACATGCTAATCTACCAGACTCGAATCTCAAAGGAGTTCAAGTGCCCTACTCAAAATTCCTGCAGTGATAAGGGGTCTGCTGTGTTTGGCTGGGGTTGGGAGGAAAGATTTTTATGATAATTATCTTTGTGTGGAACAATTTTGCATTTTCTCTCCTGTTAATTCCAAAGTGAGCTGGGGGTGCGAGGCAGCAGGAAGATAGCCCTGCTGAAAGTAAAAAGTATTAAGGAGTCAAATATTTAATGTTGGCCTGGCATAATTTGACAGCAATTATGCAGCAAAAGCACTAGACGTTACCAGGAAGATCCAGATAAATGTTCCATAATGACAGAGATGGAAAACAAGGAGCACTTTTTGCTTGTTCACATAAAAGCCTGTTAGAAACTGAAATGCAGAACAGCGGTGAGTTTTCATTCAGATTTCTCCTTGACATCAAAAAAAATTTAAAAAAAAAGGTGCAGAAATTATTCATCTCTGTGTGTTGGTCTTGAGAAAATCATTAACTTTTGTGGGGGGAGAGCAGTGAAAAAATAGTTCCAAACTTGATGTGAGTGAGGCAGCAAATACAACACTTCACCCCCAGCCCTTCAGCAAATGAACTTCCAGCAGCACAAATCCTCAAATTACCCCATTTTCCAGAAATAATGGAAACTGATTGTGCAGGATTTTACTGCAAATTTGCATGAGAAATTATACTTATGTACAGGTAAAAGAAAATGAATGTATTGTGGGATACCCAGAGAGAACTCCAATTTCATAATTATGAATTAGTTAATTCATAAATTAATTTTATAGAGCATTATTTACAACTACTAGTTTAAAAAACTCTAGGTAAAATTGCTGGTAAATGAGAATTTACCAGTATCTATAGAAACTATTGATAGAGTATTTATAGAAATAAATCATGGAATAATGATGTTGGGCACATCCTTCCCAGTTTTCCTCAGAGATCACTTTCTTGCAAAGCGTTTGTAGTGTCAGAGCCTTGGATGAATGTGGGAAAAAATATCCTAAGAGAGAAAAACCATGATGGGGGCACTCTTAGATTTCCAGAACACTCCATGTGTGTGTCCTGCTCACAGCTGCTGCAGAGAAAGATGAGGTGTCTTTATCCCAGCAATAATAATTTTAGTGATGACTCTTCCACCCCCTTTTCCAGATTCCCTAAATCTCTGCAGGCTGGATTTTACCAAGATGGATGTTTTCCATCCTTGGGACGGTTTGGCCATTTTTATTACACCCAAAGGCACCTGGGGTGGAAAAGGCACCTCTGATCATACCCAAACCCACAAAGAGAAGGAAACGAGGCTGATAAAAACTCAGTGTTGTGGACTGAGCCTCTCTCACCAGGAAAAGAGTGGAAATGAGCACAAAATCCAGACAGACACAGAAGGGGCAGCTCCTGGCTCAGGGTTTGTCAGGGTTTGTCAGGTTTTGTCCCAGCCCTGGCTGAGGGTGCTGCAGAGAGGAGCAGGAGCTGCTGGGCAGCCTTACCTTCCATGCTGGGTGCCATGTTCCCCAGGGAATAACCTCCTTCCTTCAGACACACCAGCAGCTCTTCTCCCGGCTCAATCTCTTTAATAACTTTATAATAGACCTGGGAATCACAAACAGAACACACAGGGTAAATGTGCAAAGGCTTGAGGTTTTATGTTTTAACCAGGAATTCAAATTACTTTCGTTAATAGGGGAGGCTGTGCCTTGATTTGGGATAATTGCTGCTCTGAGCTCGTTTTCCTGCCTTTATTTGACTCTTTGGGTGTCAGAGTTTCACAGGGTTTGGACAATAAAAAAATATTTTGGGCAACAAAATTACAACAAATTATCTCTCCCTCAAATTACAACAAATCTTCCCATTTTCTTCTTGTCCTCCTGTGAGTTCAGTGTGTTTGTCACAGTGAAGGGAAGATTAAACTGATGGAATTGTCACGTTTAAACCTCTACTGTCTGAGGCAGAATGGGGCTCATGGTTAGAACTGAATTATCACATCTCCACAGAATGATTTTATTGATAATTCTCCTCAACAGCCTAGACCTGACCCCTAAACACAGTCATGAACCACTCCAGGTGAGCAGTTTGCCTGCATTCTGAGCTAAAAAAACAAAACAAAACAAAACAAAACAAAACAAAACAAAACAAAACAAAACAAAATAAAATAAACCAGCATAGACCTGACCCTTAAACACAGACATGAACCACTCCAGGTGAGCAGTTTGCCTGCATTCTGAGCTAAAATAAAATAAAACAAAACGAAACAAAACAAAACAAACCAGCCTAGACCTGACCCCTAAACACAGACACAAACCACTCCAGGTGAGCAGTTTGCCCACATTCTGAGCTCCAGTCTGAGCACAGACCTGTACCTTCCACAATGTCCTAAGCACAGCTGTGTTCACCTCCTGGACTCTTGTCACTGCACCAGGAGAAAACCCCAAAAAAGAAACAGGACCCAGGCAGGGGCAGAGCCCACTGACCTCATCTTCAGTGCCAGCCCAAACCCCACAGACAGCAGGGCAGGGGTTCTGTCACAGCTGGGTCCCCCCTGAGCCTCATTCCCTCCCCTCCACCTGCTCCAGGAGCTCTTTTTTCTTTTATCCCGAGGAGCTTCAGTGTCCTCCAGATGTGTCCCAAATTTTTGGAGTACACTGGACCCTGTCTGAACACAATACCCTGAGAATTCACCTGGTAACTGTTTTTAACTTCCAGGTTTTCTTAGCACTGTGTTTAACAGCAATCCAAGAAATTATTTTTCCACGTAAAAACTGCATTTCACCCAGAGCAATTCCCGAAATTTGCTGCCACTCTGCCTCTGCCAGCCTGTGTTTATGGGGAAGGAACACACACAGCTCCTAAATTCCCGCCTGGCTTGCATTAATTGTGTCACCACCCTGCATTTCTCTTTGCAGAGTCCTTTCCCTCCCTCCCTGGCACGGCACACGAGGCTTTGGCAGATCCCGGCCCGGCGGGAGCAGCGCCTGCCCGGGATGCTCCCAAAATTGTCCTCCGGGTGCCGGAGCAGTGTGATGGCAGGGACAGGCATGCGATTCCAGGGACAGCAGGCTGCAGGGACAGGGAAACCACTCCCAGAGCCGCAGGGACAAGTGACAGCCCTTCCAGAGCTTCAGGGACAGGGGACAGCCCTCCCAGAGCTGCAGAGACAGGAGATATCCCTCCCAGAGCTGCAGGGACAAGGGACATGCCTTCCAGAGATGCAGAGACAGGGGACATCGTCCCCAGAGCTGCAGGGACAGGGGACATCAGGAGACATCCCTCCCAGAATTTCAGGGTCACGGGACATTGCTCCCAGAGTTTCAGGGACACGGGACATCGCTCCCAGAGCCACCACGCGGTGCGGCGGGGACCGTGGGGCGCGGTTGCCGCTCAGAACTTTCCCTCCACACCGAGGGCAGGACGCTCCGGACCGATCAACCCGCGCTCCACCGAGCACCAGGGCGGATCCTGGTCCGCCCCGGTCCCGCACCGGTTCCCGGTTCCCGCACCGATTCCCGGTCCCGCACTGGTTCCCGGTTCCCGCACCGATTCCCGGTCCCGCACTGGTTCCCGGTTCCCGCACTGGTTTCGCAGGAGTGCTCGCAGCTCCACGAGCGGAGCTGTTCCCCATCCCTCGGATTAATTACCATCCCCCATCCCTCGGGATAATTAACTCTCTCCGCCGCCCCTGCAAACGCCCGGCGCCTCCCGATCCCGATCCCGATCCGGAGGGGCGGGAGGGCTCTCAGCAGCAGTACCGGGGCTCCCCCCTCTCCCCGGGACACACCGAGGAAAAGTTGCTGTTGGGGCGCTCCAGCAGCTGCCGGGACCGGGAGCAGGATGGGGCCAGGATTGGGATTGGGATCGGGATGGGGATCGGAATCGGGACAGGGATTGGGATGGGGATCAGGATGGGGATCGGGATTGGGATCAAGATGGGGATCGGGATGGGGATGGGGATCGGGATGGGGACCGGGATGGGGATGGCGACCGGGATGGGGATGGGCACCGGGATTGGGATGGGGACCGGGATGGGGATGGGGCCCGGAGCGCGGCCCCTGCCCGCCCCAGCAGGTGGCACACGCCGCCCGCCACCGGCCCCGCCGCCGCCGCCGCGGGGACCCCGCCGGTCGCTCGGAGCCGGTGCCGGGCAGTGCGAGCGGAGCGGGCCGGGCCGGGCCGGGCCGGGCCGGGCCGGGTTCCCCTGACCTGCTGGCTCCTGTCCCGCGGCCGCTGCGCTCCTCCGGTGCCGGCGGCGGGGCCGATCGGGGGAGGGCAGGGAAGGGAAGAGGAGGGAACGGGAGGGGAGGGAAGGGAAGAAGGGCAGCCGGGCCGTGTCTGTGCAGCGGCTCCAAGGCCGGGCCAGACGGAGTCACAGCCGTCCCCATGAACGGGGCGAGCTCCGGTACCGAGCGCTGTGACACAGCCCTTACCGGGGTACAGCCCTTACCGAGCACCCGGTACAGCTTTTATCGGGTGCTCCGATACAGCCCTGACCGAGTGCTGTGACACAGCCTTAACCGAGGGTACAGCCCTTACCGAGCACCCGGTACAGCTCTGAGTGCTCTGACAGCCCTTGCCGGGGGTACAGCCCTTACCGAGCACTAGGTACAGCCCTGAGCGGGAGCTCCCGTGCATCCCTTACCGAGCACCCAGTACAGCCCTAACCGAGTGCTCTGACACGGTCCTTACCGGGGGTACAGCCCTTACCGAGCACCCGGTACAGCCCTAAGCGGGAGCTCCCGTGCATGCCTAACCAAGCACTCAGTACAGCCCTAACCGAGTGCTCTGACACGTCCCTTACCGGGGGTACAGTCCTCACTGAGCACCCGGTACAGCTTTTACCGGGAGCTCTGGTACAGCCCTAACCGAGTGCTGTGACACAGCCCTTACCGGGGGTACAGCCCTTACCGAGCATCCCGTACAGCCCTGACCGAGTGTTCTGACACAACCCTTACCGGGGTTAGGGTTTCATCCCTTACCGAGCACTCGGTACTGCCCTGAGTGCCCTGACACAGCCCTTACCGGGGGTACAGCCCTTACCGAGCTCTCTGTCCAGCCCTTTTCGGGAGCTCCGGTGCATCCCGGTCCTCTCCACACCGGCCCTGCCTCCCTCCCTCCCTGCCGGGCTCAGCACAGCCGACACCTCCCCAAATATCGAACTCACCCAAATATCGGTGCCTGAGCTCTGAGCTCACCTGAGCTCTACCCGGGCAGCTCTCCCTGGGAGTTTCAAAGCAGGGATGGTCACAAACACAAAGATTTGGGATGGGAAATGAAATCTCACTGCTGATAAAATACCCCAAACTGCCCAGACACCCATCCCTGTGCTGCCAGGATCCTCGGGGTAATCCCACCCCTGTTTTCCACCGCTTTGCAAACAGTTCTCCCAGGGCAGGCACATCTCATCCAGCTGGGAGTCCCAAAACGGGACCTGGTGCTGTGGGCAGGATCTGGGATCTCCCTGGACCTGCTCAGCTCCAAAACCCCAGGTGGAAACCCCGAGCAGCACCAGGCTGACACAGGACACACACCTGGGCACAGGTGAGAACAGTGCTGAGACCCCTGCTCCACCCAGCCCGGGAGTTCATTTCTGGGGATTCCACCACAAAACAAAAATCGTCTAAAATTTTCCTTTTAGACATAAAAGAAAAAAATTTCTCATTATCTTTTTGATTTGCACTTCAGTGCTGTGCTTGGTCTACAAAAAAAGCTTTTCCCTCCCTGCTTGTTCTACAAAAAAAGCTTTTCCCAGGACCAAACCACAATGAACTTAAGGGGGAAAGTGCCTGAAAAAACCCCAAAAAGGCTGCCTAGGAGTGAGCCCAGAGCTCAGGACTGACTTGGAAACACAGGAGTTGGGATGGGCCAAGCTAAGAGAAAAAATAAGATAAAATAAGATAAAATAAATAAAATAAAATTTTAAAAGATATAATAAAATAATATTAAAAAATAAAATAGAATAAAATAGAATAAAATAGAATAAAATAGAATAAAATAGAATAAATAAAATAAAATAAAATAAAATAAAATAAAATAAAATAAAATAAAATAAAATAAAATAAAATAAAATAAAATAAAATAAAATAAAATAGCTATTAACAGAAGTGCACTTGGCAACCTAAACCAGCACTAAAACACCAGCCGTGGTCTAAAAGGTCCATCAAGTTCAGAGATAGTCACAAATTTTATAGGGGAAAAATCCTTCAGAATGCCCCTGCCAAAGGCTGACACTGCCCTGGTCTCACGTTTTAGCTCCTTTTCCTCTCCTGTTTGTTCTCAGAATAAAGTAGCTCCTTGTATTTCAAAACATCTCCTGAAGTTCTTCCAGAAAAGAGGACGGGCTTCTTTAATGATCAGGGAAAAGTTGGATTCTGCTGGAGTCACATTAATTTCATCAAACATTTCATTATGGTAATTAACTTCATCTTTCAGTCATGGTACTGATGGTCTGGGCTCATCAAAGCCTTTTTTATTTGTCGTGCACTGAAAAAGCTCAGATTTAATAATCCAGCAGAAGATTTACACTCACAAATCAATTCTGTTTGTTTATAGAAAAGTTCCACACTTGATCATTTTGTGTTTCCCACCACAGCATGGGCAGCTCTCCAAATTACCAGCTTTGTTTGACACTAAATAGTTAACAGGATAAGTAGGGTTTGGTGGTACTGAGAGTACTCCTTTTCTTAATTTTTATCAAAATTATTCTGGGCACGGGGTGTTGAAGAAAGAAAAAAATAAAAGGAAAGAAAAAAAACCAACCAAACAAAAAAACCTCCAAAACCCAACACCCCCAAAAACAAACCAACAACCAAAACAAACAAAAACCCAAATAAATAAACAAGCAAAAAGGGAAAGTAGAAATAACCCAGAGGAATCTTGTTCCAGCCTGGCTTGATCCAGGGATCTGCTGTGGATGTGAACTTGGGGCAGCAGAAATCAGCCCCTGGTTGTCTAATTTTGCTGCTAAACCAGAATTATTTGGCAAAATCACTGAAATATCGACCCTGCAGAACCACAACAACCACAATGTGGGGTTTGTCTAGCTCAGAGCCCAGCACCAGCTCACCTTTCCACAGAAAAAAAAAGAGTTCTGGAGCCTGGGAATGAGGTTTAACATTCCCAGAGTCACGGCAAGGGATGGAGATGGAGCACGATGAGAGGGAAAAGTCCATCCCAGAATTACTTCATTAATCAGGGTCCTTCCTAATAGCCAGCCCCATTTCCCTGCTGGAGGGATTTTTATTTATCTAATTTTATTTAATTTTTATTGCGCTCCAGGGAGAAAAGAGCATTAAAAAGGGAGAAAGCAGCTGCTGTGTTCACCTAAAATCAAAAACCCACCCACAAACACATCAGAGCAGCAGAGGGGCTCAAAAACTAAAAAAGCAGCCTGAAAAAAAGGTTCTTTGTGTCCTTGTCTCACCAATAACTCACTCCACAGGCAGCCCAGTGAGGATCCGTCCCTCCTGCTCCCTCAGACCTGTCCGTGTGTCCAGCTCTGGACAGGGAAAATTTGGCCTTGGGAATGTCCAGCCAGGACAGGGCTGCACATTTTGCTTTTGTTCCCGTGTTTTCCTCCTTTGGAATTGCCTACTCTTTGTTTCTGCTCAGCCACATTGCTGCTGATTTCCTCTTTTTAAAGCTTGTGATGTATTGGGAATCCTGACTGGAGTTACCAAACCTCTATAAAATGCACCCAAAATCTCTGCATTGTACACACATCTCACACTGGCTGATTAAACACAGACCTGATTTTTTTTTTCTATCTCCTGTTACTCCTTTCCCCCCACCAATATCTGCACCCCAACTAAAAGCAGCAGCTGCCACCCTGATTATTAACAATATATAATACTATTCAAGGCCAGCTCATGGCCATGAATATAATTACTATATATTATAAATATATTAGTTTTAGATTCTGTTTAATATTTCAGACTCCTGAACTGCTCAAGTATTTTCCTTTTTGAGGCAGGAGCAGCAACAGCAAAAATTAAAACATTTCCCTTTTAGTAAAAGATATAATTTATCTACCATTTTTCCACTCCTCCTTCAGAATCACAATTATCTCAAACAATCAAGGATCGTCTTTTCAAATACCTCTTCAGCACAAACAAATCTAAAGAAAGCTGGCTAATGTTATTTTACATGTGAAAATTTGCTTTGTAATTGAAAAAATGTGAATGAAATGTCACAATTAACCTCTTTCTAAATAGAGAAAAAATATATTTAAAATATATTCTAATCTGTTAATGGGGGTGAGAGTGGGATATAATTGAGTGGTCCAGATCATGCTGTCAATTCCTTCACTAAGAATCCAGGAAAATTCTCTGTGCATTCCTGGGACTGTTCCTGAGTCACAGGACTAAAGAAGAACAGAAGGGTCCTGAGTGGAGACTGGATCCTGAGTCAGGGACTGGATCCTGAGTCAGGGACCGGATCACAAATCAGGGAGAGGATCCTGAGTCAGGATCTGGATCCTGAGTCAGGGTCTGGATCCCGAGTCAGGGGCTGGATAACGAGTCAGGGACTGGAGCACAAGTCAGGTAGAGGATCCTGAGTCAAGGAGAGGATCCTGAGTCAGGAACTAGATCCTGAGTCAGGGACTGGATCCTGAGTCAGGGACTGGATTCTGAATTAGGGACAGCATCGTGAATGAGGGACTGGATCACAAATCAGGGACAGGAACCTGAGTCAGGGAGTGGATCCTGAGTCAGGGAGAGGATCCTGAATTAGGGATGTTATCCTGAGTGAGGGACTGGATCACAAGTCAGGGACAGGAACCTGAGTCAGGGACTGGATCACGAGTCAGGGACTGGATCCTAAATTAGGGAGAGAATCCTGAGTCAGGGACTGGATCACAAGTCAGGAAGAGGATCCTGAGTCAAGGAGAGGATCCTGAGTCAGGGACTGGATCCTGAATCAGGGACTGGATAGTGAATCAGGGACTGGATCAAGAATCAGAGACTGGATCCTGAATCAGGGTCTGGAACTTGAGTTGGGGACTGGATCACGAGTCAGGGACACAAATCAGTGACAGGACCCTGAATCAGGAACTGGATCACAAGTCACGGACAGGACCTGAGCCAGGGACTGGATCCTGAGTGAGGGACAGGATCCTGACTCTGGGACTGGCCCATAAACCTGGAGGCTTTCGCTCACCCCAGGGCTGATCCATCCCTGGCTCTCCTCCCCTGGCCGCTGCCCTGCCCAGCAGCCCCGGGCGAGCCCCCAGCCCGTGCTGGATGCCAGGGCAGCCCAGCAGCCCCAAGAGCCCAGCAGCCCCGGGGTTACCTGCTCGTTGATGTGGCACACAGCCAGGTTCTGCTCGTCGCAGGAGCAGCACACTCGGATGTACTTCAGCCAGTTCCCAGCCCCGCCCTGGCCGGCGTCGCCGCAGAACTTCTCAGTGCCCAGGGCATCGGGAACCTGCGGGAGAACCGACAGGAGAGGGGTCAGCTGGGCACACGTGGGGGGGAGAGAGGCAGGAAAAGGGTTGGCAGGGCACAACTCCAAACAAGAAACAGAAAGGAGAAAGGTAAGGGATGGACATAATTGATAAAGGGACTTCTGGCAAGAATAACATCAGCTCTCAGTCACTATCTGAAGGTGCTGGCTGGCAGAACCTCCAAGGACACTGCTCAGAGTGGTCTGTGAGTAAAAGGTTCAGGAGTACAAATATTCTGGAAAACACAGCTCTGGTACCACAGCTCAAGTGATCAAAGCAGGGAACTCCTCCAAACTGCACTAATTTTAATGACAAGGTCCTTAACTGCTCATTCTTCACATCATCTGTTTCATCCTTTCATGCAGGATAATTTTTTATTACAAACCTTTCAATAAACTCTCAAACCAGGTCACAGAGCTGTGAGGTTCTATTTTAAAAATCACTTTACCCAACGCGCTACTTTCATTTATCTGAGTACAGCCTGAGAAATTCACCGGCCACAGCTTTGTGGCTGAAGGTGAGATACAATTTGGCTGCTGTGAAAAAGAGGAATCCTTCAAAATAAAACCCCTCAGATGTTTAAAGTCCAGGTGTGGGGAAAAAAAAAGAGTTAATTGAGGGGTTGCAGTCCAAGGAAAGTCACTAGTTTGCCAGGAAGAGATTTTTCTTCTCTTAAGGCAGTGGAGTTTGGTGGGAGAACCAGAGAAGATGCTCAGCATTCCAGAACAACCTTTGGGATGATCCAGTTTGGAATCCACTCAGAAAAGCACATTTTAAAAATGACACAGCACACCCTGAAAATGAGGAGAAGCCCTCTTAGTTCTGGCATAGCAAGGCTCTGCTCTGCTCCTAAGTGGGCCTCCCTGCTCCAGAAACTCCTTTTTTCCTGAGATTCACATTTCCCTCTACCCCGACCAGCCCCTGTGTCAGTGCAAATTACTTCAGTCATCAAAAGCTCTTAACATGCTTTTACTAGCAATTAATTCTCTCAGAATCTCGTGGGATACGATTATACTTTCCCATCTATTTCAAGACACAGTAAAAAAAAAAAAAAAAAAAAAAAGAAAAAGTGGGAAATCAAAGGAGAGAAAAAATTAAAGCCCAGCAATGACAGCAACAAGTTGAGCTTAAGGCTGGGATGAGAAAGCTCAGGGGGACAGGTCCAGTTCAGGCTCTGGCTCCCAGCTCTGGACTCCTGGGAGGACCAGGACCTGCCAGACGCACCAGGACAGCTCCCAGCTCCCTGCACTGGTCCCAGCAGACATTTCCTGGTCTCATCCCCACCACCAACCCTTCCTTCTCCAGCTCCTTGGCTGAAAAGGGATGAGGGAAAATCCCACCATTAGTGCTGGGCTTCTTCCTTCCTAATCCTCCTTCCTGGGAGTCACTGAAATGCTGCCCTGGGACAGATCTGGTGAGAGGAAAAACCTGGCTGTGCTCAGCTTCTTCATCCCCTGCCTGGGAACACTCAGGGTCATTCACTCATCCCTAGCTAGACCCTGGAACTTTCTAGACACCCTTGATTCATCTACTGGCAGCACCAAAAGTGTGAGGTGGGCATTGTTGGCACAGGAAGCCAATTCTGTGTTGTTTGGAGATTTTAATAAAAAAAAAAAACAAAGCAAAAAAAAACCCCAAAAAACCAAAAAAACCCAAACCCCAACCAACCAAAAAACAACAATAAAACCTGTTCTTATAGTGGCTGAATCAATATTGAGTTTACTGAAGTTAAAATATCAGTAATTTCTGTTTTATCTCAGGGAGCTCCAGGGACACTGATCTGCCTAATGCTGGTGAAAAAAAAGAGCTTCTCTTGGCTTTTTGACCCCAAATTGAGCTTCTCTTGGATTTTTTGACCCCAAATTGAGCAGCCCAGCCAAGCCAGCCCCTCAAGTGAAGACACACTCAGACACCAAGTGACAGCAGCTTCCAGGGAAACTGTTTGGACAACCAAATGAAACAAATCATTGATGCTCAGCTGGTCTGAAGCCCCTGAAGAGTTTGGGCAGAGTTTGTAGTGGTTTGAGAAACCAGCAGCCCACAAAATTCCCAGTGGCAGCAATTGGTGACAGCCAGTGGCCCTGGGAACACAAGATGGCAAATCCAGGACACACAAATAAGATCTTTAATTTCACAGCTGTGTCTTACAGATGGTCTCTTTCATCTTCCAGGATTGTTTGAGAGGACACTTAGGGCCATTGAGTGGCTTAGGATGGAAGGGACCTTAAGGATCATTTAGTTCCAACACCCTGGGCAGAGAGCTTGGGGAATGTGGAAGAGGTTCTACAGGGTCTTCTGTGAGACGGAGAGAAGTTTGATAAGAGGATCGATGTTTACCCCTGAAAGAATTTTCTACCAAGGTTGTTGACATAAAAACCAAGAAAGAAAAAGGAAAAATAAGAGAAACCTGCAACTGTCTATTCCAGGTTCCAGAAAGAAAGAAGGTTAAATAAGAAAAACCTGCAACTGTCTATTCCAATCAGCAATTTTTTCCTCTTTCCTGACCAATGAATAAAGTGTAAACTTAGGAGTTTTTAGGAACGTATAAAAAGCATGCATGGTAGAATAAAAGTGGTTTGAAGCTTTCAGAAAATGGAGTGTGTTGTTTTGTGTTGTCTCCATCCCAACTATGACAGGAGAAAGCCCAAAATTCAGCTCAAATTCATTTTGCAGGGTCCTGCTCACCAGCTGTGCCTCAGGAGGAGGTTCTGCCGTAGCTCGAAATCACCTGAAACTCTGTGGTTTTATCTGCGTGGGGCTTTAAAACCCAAGCTGGGGGTGTGAAATCTGACAGATCAAAACGAGAGAGAAAGAGGTGCTGTGAGAGCCTGAGAACCTGAGCTGCTGTTCTCACACACCCTCCACAAACAGAGCCTGGCACCACGGCCCCAAGCCCAAAACAGGGACAGCACCCAGCCACCCCTCATGTGATTCCAACCTTTAGCTGCCCAGGAAAAGAGGTGTGGATGGTTTGGGATTAAAGCTGCTGCTAAGTCCTGGATAGGGAGGGACTTAGTTCTGATTTTAACTGTGAATAAAGACATTTAATAGAGCTGGAGATGCCTGTTGGGGTAAAAGCATCCCCAGGTGGGTGGCTGTGAGGAGCTGAACCTTCCAGGAGTGGGGTGAATCCCTCTGCTGGCATCCACCAGGACCCTCTGAAAATGGAATAAATGGGGGGATCAGCTGGTTTGGAGTGCTGCAGGACCAGTTCCAGAGGTAGGGCAGCCCCTGGGCCAGCTCAGCCCTCTGTGGCCAACACCTCTAATTAAAGATCAGGTTCACACGCTCGCTGATGGTCGCTATCAAAGTTATTTCACAGCTAAATGCAACCAGAAGCACTATCTGCAGTATCTGTTCTTTCTTCTGTCAAATGTTCACACACACAATAATATTTTAAGTATCTCTTCCCCCCACCACCCCCAACCTGAGAAAACTCCGGAAAAAACAAGCTGAAACCTTTTACCACATCTTCTTCCAGTTCAGACCAGAAGGAAATCAGAAATTTCCTCTGGCGAAATTCTGCAAACCAACTGTTTACAAGTCTTTGTCAGTAAGTAAAAAAAAAAAAGTTAAAAAATAAATTAAAAAAAAATTCCAGTTTGAAAATGCTCTTGGGATGTTCATGGAGCATTGGTTTCTCTGTGTTCTTTTGAAGAACCAAGAGATGCCCTGTGCTCTAGGACAGGTGGAGAAGGAAAACAGAGGCAAAAAGGTTTGGGAATGGGCAAACTGAAGATCCCAGATGGAAGCACAGAGGGATTCACCTCACTCCTGGAAGGTTCAGCTCCCCACAGCCACCCACCCAGGGATGCTCTTACCCCAACAGGCTCTAATAAATCTGTTTATTCACAGTTAAAACCAGAACTAAGTCATTCCCTATGCAGGACTCAGCAGCAGCTTTAATCCCCAATCCACACCTGTTTTCCTGAGCAGGTAAAGGCTGACATCAGATATTTAGCACCAACAGCAAAAAAACCCCAGAGATGCCACAGAAGGAAAAAAACCCATCAGAAAATGCAGTGTAATTATTAGCAGGACTCTGACTTGGTGGAGCTGACATGGAATTTCTGCCTGTGCTCTCTGCTCAGGCTGGCTCTGTATCAGTGCTGACGTCTCTCCTGAGAGTAATTTGGCTTAGACATTAGAAGAAGTTGTCAGAGGGATAGGAGAGGTGAAAAAAAGGTGGGAAGAGACTGGAGAGGAGCAAACAAAATAAAATCAGTTTATAATTAGTAACTGGTGCTGGTTTTGCAAGTCTATAACCATCATGCACTGCTATTCTAGTCAAGTTTGGGAAATGCATTTCACCTCCTTGATCCTTTTGGCTCTGAGGCCCAGCAACCCTGCCCCACAGAGCTGCAGGAACAAGATTTGTCCCTTTTGCTTTGTCCCTATGTTAAACCCCAGCAGTCTGGGACAGCCCCTGCCCTGGAAAAGCAGATTTTCATCTGGCCTGCAGCCTGCAGCCACGCTCAGAAAGTTAATTATTGTGAGAGCACTTCCTCTGGCCACTCTTGCATTTCATCCCTCCCACCCCATCATGGATTTCTCCCCGCTTCTTTTTTCATCACTGAACACGCCAAAACTTCATCTTTTCTCCTTCTGCTGCAGATGGTGAGTTCAGTCTTTATTTATTAACCTACGGCACCTCCCAGCACTTTTGTCTTCAAATCCAACAGCTCATCTAAGAATTCCCAATTCCCCTTCCCCTCCCTGCCAGCAACAGTGCCATGATTTTGTCTCGTGGAGTCGTTCTCTGGGTTTCACAGAGCTCTCCTTGCTCTGAAGTCCCCCAGCCTCCTCCTCTCCAGTCTATCCCCTCCAAAGAAATTCACCTTCATGTTCCCTGGGATTACAGGGCTTTGACTGGCCCTCTGCAGAGACACGGATTTGGGACACAGAGCCAGAGCTCCGGCTGTGCCTGTGCTTCACATCCATCCCCAGCCAGCCAAAAGGAAATTGTTGTCATGTTCCAGGG